TAGTAGTATTCGTATTCGTAGTAGTAGTAGTAGTAGTAGTAGTAGTACTAGTAGTAGTAGTAGTAGTAGTAGTAGTACTAGTAGTAGTAGTAGTAGTAGTAGTAGGAGGAGGAGGAGTAGTAGTAGTAGTAATCGTAGTAGTAGTAGTAGTAGTAGTAGCAGTAGCAGTAGCAGTAGCAGTAGCAGTAGCAGCAGTAGCAGTGGCAGTAGCAGCAGTAGCAGTGGCAGTAGCAGTAGCATTAGCATAGCAGTAGTAGTAGTAGTAGTAGTAGTAGTAGTAGTAGTAGTAGCAGTAGCAGTAGCAGAAGTAGTTTAGTAGTAGCGGTAGAGTTTTCAGCTTCCGCGCGGTGAAGAGGGTAACGTCAGCTTCTGTTGTGGCGAAAACAGCGGATGGCGCTGCTTCCGGAGCACTCACAACAATATTCCCATATCAGAAAGAGGAAATTCAGGCACTTATGTCGCCAAGCCCTGTCGCAGTACTGTGCCAGCCTCCAGCTGCCCCGACCTGAAGCCAGCTTACTTTTGAAGGTCAGGGCCCATGGGCACTACAGCCTGATCTGGGTGGAGGCTGTTTGCGACGATGAGGAGGCCTAGCAACGTAGTTCGTTGATCAAAGCGGCAATGTGTCAAATAGGCGATCTTTTTTGGGGGGATGGTACATTGGCTTGTAACGTAGGTTTCTCGCAGCGTTTTGACCGGCTACGGTGTTTGCCCACTGAAGCTAGCGGCTGGGATTGGGGTACCTGTTGCACTTCACGTTCCTTTGCCTTTGGAACCAAACTATACAGGTTTATGCACACGCTGCATTGGAAAAGCTGACCTTGCATGGTCTCTGCTCGCCGTACAAAACTGGCTCCATGGACCTGCGTTTCTGCTCAAACGAATCTTGGCACATGATATCTTTCAGAACTTACGTAGACGTTATTGGGGGGAACTACTGCACGCAAGGGATGCGGCCAGTTGCCAACCGCAATCGAAGAAAGATACACGTAAGGATTGCACCGGTATCACTTCAAGAGGTTTAAGGTGGGAACTCTCGAGCGCCGCAAATGAAACTGCATAGGTAGTCATGAGTGATTACTGTGTCGGGCGTAACAATGCACACCAAAGTCAGGATCACAGGCATGCGTGCAAAGATGCAACACAGTGAGTGTGAGCTGGCGTTGTTTAAAGCCCTTCGAAGACAAGGAATTGTAACAACAACTACAAGTGTCATTGAGAGCCGACGAACACAGGTCTGCAAACACGACGTCTTGGCTTGAACGGCTGCACAGAGTGAAGTTTGGAAAAAGTGTGGTGAAGACCTTTCACAAGCTCTAGTGTGCGTTCGCAAGATGCAAACTGTTTGACAACTATAAGCGAGCAGAGTGATAAATGCACTGGCAGAAGGACGCTGGAAAATATACCTGGTTCAAGGTTTTGTTCAGCAATCCAGGGCTTATCCATATTTGCTGCACTTTACAAAGACTCTGCCTTCCACAGTTGTCCGCATTGTCAACGCTGCGGCATGTCTGGGCTTCATGGAGAGAGCAGCTTCATTCTTGCAGCTTGTTCGAAGTGCTACTGCGGCATTTTTTTTTGCATGCTGGCAGGTCGTGAGGTTCAACATGTTGACGAAGGTACGCTGGAATCCAGAAGCTAGTGCATGCTGCTGGCAAAGACGCTCAAGTTGGACGAAATGTGGGTTTGAGATTTGTTGACGCAGTTAGCTGAAATGGAAGAGGCTACAGTAGCGACTGCGGAACTGCATGCTACATGCTCCACGAAGACCGCGAGGTGAAGTACAGCCCGGACTTCAAAGAGATGTCCGCAGACCAAGCTGCTTCCTTAGTTACCGCTGTGCAGGCGGACAGGCTCTGTGACTTCGACGTGCATGGTCTATCATGGTCTATAACAGACTCAGGCAATGTCCGATCTCACTGCAAGAATTCAAAAGTATTCAGAAATCTACGAGACAATACAGGACGGCACTGCACTGATTCTTTCAGCACGTACCTGTTTTTGATTTGCATGACCTCGCTTCCTGGAACGCTGGCACCTACGCAGGAAGACATTCGTAGTTGCAATTTGCAGGACTCGGAAGGCGCCTTTATCAAGCTGTTCAACCTGTCGAGCAAGGTGCATTGCTGCAATGCAGTGCTTTGCTTTGCTCCTTGAACTTGCAGATACAGTTCCAATCTTTCGTGGCCTGCTAGTTTACTTCTAGGATATGGTTGTCACATCAGGTCTGAAAGCTGCAGTGCAGTCCGCCCGGCACACCCATGCACAAGCGTCCTAACTCCACACGTTCCTACAAGTACAGATTGGAGCGGAAGCCGTAGCATGACACGCAGCTTAGTGCAGCGGGCGTGTGTACGAGAAAGCAAAATATAGCAAAATTGCGCGGTTCGAAGCAGGACTCCCGACACGACAAAGCCTGTGCAGGACGGTAGTGGTAGATGTGCAGAGACTGCTGCATTTGTTCTTCCACAGTCATAGTCGCAGAGACGCACATTCGGCCTGGCGTACGCACCGAATGGTGGCACGAATCCTGCGAAGCCAGCCTGCTTGTTGTCGACTCTTTCGAGCTGTGGCTGCCCTTGCTTTTCTTGCTGCTCGGCTGCTACTATGAGTTTTTGGAGAGTCTCTTCCTGTAGTGCCTATTGCAATATTTGATAGTGTGACCGGCCTTGGTCCGCCACCTGTTAGGCTTTGCTTGACCTGCTTTCAGTGACTCGGCTTCTCTTGTGTGGAGTGGCATGAAATCAACACTGCCATGGTAAAGACAACTCTCATTTGCGACAGCTTCAATCAGCATGTGGAGACTTCATGTCGGGAACCCCGTCCTGTTGAGTTTTATGGATCAGTTGCCTAGCGAGTCTGGACGAAGCATTGTTCGGTCAGGTGACATGCCACTGTGTGTTCTCAACGTGGGTTCGTCTTGGACATTGTGCTTGCGCAGAGTAGAGCAGCCAAGGCATTCCGCCACAGCTTTGTGACATGCAGGGCAGAATTGCCCCGCACAATCCCACCATTCCCTCGTGCTTTGCACTTCACAGTCCGGAGTTGTTGATCTTTTTCAGAAGTAACGAGACTTTCATGGAAGGAGATAATTGCGGTCTTACACTCCTGTGCTACCGCTGACCAGGCCTGAGTCAGCTCGGCCTTACGACGCTTTCCTGGGTCTTCTTTTCAGATGTCAGCCCAGCAACTGCAGATGATTCGTCAGCGCCGGAAGTTCCGAAGATGTGGTCGACGGCCTTCCTTCTTGGAATTACGGCTGGTCTGGTGTTGGGCCTGTGGTCTTTCGGAAAGCTCCAGCGATCTCAGTTGCCTTGTGGCCCTTCCCCTGTGGAGCTGTTCAGCCATCTCAGCCGAAGCGCCTTCGTGCAGGAGAAGTGGGTCCAGAAGCATGGAGACATTTTCCAAACTTGGATTCCTTTTTTGAGCATCGTGTGTATAGCAGATCCAGATGCCACCCGCGACATCGCAGTGAGAAAGGGAAACAACTACCGAGATCCCTGTCTTTTCGGCAGGCACTGCGCGTTAAAAAACCATAGCTGAAAGCTAGACAGAAGGGAGCCTGGGGAGCCTCATGAGCCTCTTCCTCTGCAGGGATCGGCGATTGGCAACCAGCATCGAAGAGGCCTTGGGGCCAGGCAGCAGCTTCCCGACCTTCGAAGAGTGGCGTTGGCGAAAGCAATCGCTTTCGGGCGAGCTCAGCTTCGCAAAACTTCTAAGCCCTGAGACGGGCTTTCTCCAGTATCTCCGGAAGCTGGGAGAAGACATGCGTCCTGGCAGAACATACCTTGCTGTAGCTTAGAAGGTGTGGAGGTCCCCAATAAGGTACGGGTTCGCCAGGTGCAGGTCTCTGGACCGAGCCGCAGAGACAGCCGTGCAGCCCATTCGGATCAACGATCTCTTTTCCAAAGCCGCTGCTGCAGCAGTATTGTACTTGTTGTTCGGACGAGAAGTGGACTTCGATTCGAAGGCGCTGGAGAAGAGCACAGAGGATTGCTTTCCGTGAGAGGTCCGGCCTTGGATGAACGATTCACGTCAGCAAGACAGGAGATCATGGAAGTCTTGGAGGAGATGTTGCTTCCACAAACACCTGACGTCCGTCAAGCGACCCTGGCCAAAAGAGGTGCCGGAACAAATTTGATTGACATATTGCTAAGCAGACAGCAGACACGCCATCAATGTGTGGATGCGACAAGGACGAGCACATGCTGTGATTGATGCCGTGCTTGGTCCAGAGCTTGGGGATTTGGTCGCTGAGGTTCGGCTCATCATCCTTTGAGACACACCTAGAATGCTTGTTTGCAGGGACCACCTTATTGGCCTGCTGTCATACCACATCAGAAATGGATTCGCGTTTAGGGTTTAGGGTTTTTCATGAACAACAGTTCTGTGGGGGACAAACTTGAGGGGGCCAATCAAAGGATACTTTGACAATGAGTACTGTCTGTCACAAGGTATTTACAGGTATGTCGGTTTCCTCATACAAAAGAAAAACCATGTCGCCTGTCTGTGCAGATTGACGCGGGTACGTGGGCAGAGAACCGACGCCGGCCACTGCTGCAGGCACGGTCGGCGGAGCACAATTCGGAAACGCTATTGTCTTGTACCTGGCCCGCCTACATCCCAGCTAAGGCATCCAGGTGCTGTATAATTCGGGCGAGGGAGGGACAGCAAGCGAAATGAGCCTGATCGACAAGTGTGCCTGGACATATTGTCCACTTGGGATTGGAAGCTCACTCCCACTTCAGTCAAACAGCATATAGGTTCACCAGGCGCTCATGGGCACTTTCGGAATATCAATACTTTAGCTTCCCATGTCGAATACATTCCTCCAAGCAGCAGAGGTGCAATTAGGCAGAAGCCTACCCAAGCAAAATCAGACATGCTCCATGCAAACACGTTCTTGGTGACCAGGCTCTTTTGATCAAAGAACCTCGGTGGCGCCAAAGAGGTTTGCAGGCGCTTCTGGCGGAGGCCAGCACTTCCTGCCATTTTGGGCCCTGCGATGTCGATCTGCCTCTGCCAGATCCGCAACTTTGTGAATGCGGGCTACGAGATACAAGCATTCGCCCTGTCCTTTACAGTGGGCTTTCTCTCTGAGCCACGGCATTCTCGGGCAGCAGATGATGCCAGACGGGCAGCCGACACTCGAAAGCACCTTTCGCACCCGATGTTCCCGTCTCATCAACACCAGCTTAGGAAGACATCGTCCGCATCGGTTTCAAGCAGGAGACACTTCTACAGAGCACCAATTCCATGCAGGCAGTCTTCAACGAGGCACTGTGCATGGCGTGTTTTTCAAGGATCAGTTTTTGTTTGCTGCCCCGTGCTTTGTGATCGGCGTTCGGGCCGTTTTGCACAAAAGGTGTACCCGGTCTACCTGTGCGAGGCTAGTATGGAACAGGGCTCCCTCTACTGAAACCAAAACGTGGTGCAGGCCCAGAACACTACATATTCTTCAAAGCAATATGGGTAGTTGTCAAAATTAGGGTCCCTTTGAGGGTACCCTAAATAATAGGTGCCGTATTATAATAAGGACCCAAAAAGGGACCATAATTTTGACAACCACCCATATGCTTATATGCAAGTGCAGCGTTTTTTCATGGTCAAACGTCGATCAAAGGCAGACCCAAACTGACTGTTTCGTACACTCTGCACAGCATAAGCACAGACAGACACACACACACACACACACACACGCAATGCTTCACCGATCAGAAACCCAGCCATGATGACAGGCACTGCGCTTGCTCCCTCCTACTCCAAGTTTGTCCGGTACGGCTTATGACGACTTCGATATCCACGTGGGTGGCAGGACGCCACAAGGATGACAAGGCAACTGCCGGAGTGCGCCGGCGCCCGCCTCGATTTGCAGGAGCTACGGCATCACCAAGGGTTCGATCCTCAACTTTCAGGCCGGGCTGGAAACAGTCACCGGAGGTAGCTCGTCCCTGTGGGAAAGTTTCTCGTGATCCTCACGGCAGCTCGTGTCGGAAGGTCTTGGCTGGACAACGCTCCACAAAGTTTGGTTCCGATCCAGCTTGCTACGAACCCAGGCGGTGGACAGAAGGATCGAAAACTGCGGATAATTGCTGTGTTGTGCCAGCAGACGCGGATTTGCCATTCGGTGTCTGAGTCTTACAGGACTCAACCAGGCAAAGCTGATGACATACAATTATGGCGCTCACAGCTGTCCCGGGAGGGACGTCTCTTCTTTGGAAGCCAGAGCACCTTATCACCTGTTTCAGCTCTATGAGAGGTTGCCTGTACTTCTTGCAACCAGGAGAGGTGCTTCACTCACGTCACATGCTTTCGCTTTGATGTCTATTCTCACCGGGGTCCTTTTGCTGCAGTGGCTGACCAGGACAGGAACCAGGTAGTGTGTTTACAAGGCGGACAGCCGTATCTCCATGCCAGGTATGGTTGCCAATGCTGCTCGCACGATATCGCTTTCAACTAGCGCATGGAGTTGAGCAGGAAGTTGACAGCAGTGGGGTGCACCTGAAGCCCAAAGACGGCTTAGAAGTGCATGTCCATAGACTGCACTAGATGCTTCACTGTTCGAGGTTCAGTCGGGTTCGATCGTCCACGACGGTTGCGCCCAGAAGGATCGTCTCGCATATGTGTTGACGGTCTGCAGCTTCGCGAGAAGGAAAAACGGATAGTAGCGAAAGAGCTTCCCTTAGCAGCTCGCGGCTGCTGCTAGCTGCTTAGCCGCTAGCCATCGCTAGACTTTTGTTCAGGTCATGGCGAATCATTGCTATGGCCGCGTGGCAAAGAGCATCTCCGACTCAAGTTTAGTATCGGTGGGATGAGACAGGCGCATGGTCAGGGCCTTGTCATGTCAATGCAAAGCTTCTGTCCGAGTCCCGAAGTCAATTGTCGATATGCCTAGATCATGAATCGCCGAAACCGGCTGCACCCCAAACTGCAGTGGGACTTGTCCCTGAAAGTGAAGGAACCCCGATCGTCAAGACCTAAATCTCCGACTCCTTGACAAAGAGATGGGATCTCTGAAGTTCGGCAGTTTCGACTTCAAAAGCCTCGACGAGGGCTTCGCTTCCAGTGTTCCTTGCTATCAGCCCCGTCCCAGGCATATTGCCATATTTGATGGCAATCCACATTGGCCAGAGCCACAGCGCGGCAGTGGAGAGGGCTGTCCTGGGAAGGTTTCATGAATGGTCTTGAGCGCGTTGAGAAGGTTCTCGACCGATTTGGCTCGCGCGGGCGGGACCGGGCTCCACCAAAGGCTACGAAGTCTTTGAGTTTCCAGCTCCAGTAATGCAGCCGTGAAGGCCAAAATGGTGTCGATCGGAACTCTACCCTTTCAGATGAAGGCAGGAACACTTGTGCTCCAAGTAGGGCGTGAGCTGTTTCCGAAAAACTGTGTAGTCTGTACTGCGAGTGCAAAAGTCGGGAAGAACGGATCCATCGAAGGGTAGCATTGACTAGCGTCGATGGCAGCTCCTCCCAATGCGCGGACCGGCATTTTCTCGGCGTTGGTTTGCAACCTTTTCCAGGTCAACGCTATGCAAAGCACCTTGCTGCTTTTGTGCAGCATCGCTCTCGCCGCTACTGGGACTCCTCTGGAAATCCACAGGAGCATTTGCTGCTCGCCTGTCTGCATGCCGCAGACATGCTCCAATGATAACTGCGCGAACTACTGTATCTGTGTTCGCGGATCTGGTGGGGTACAGTACTTCCTTGGCTGCTCTCACATGCGAGCGGGTTAGCGTGGCCTGTGCCCTTTTATATACATATATACTCGCTTGGTGCATCAACAGCATCAAACCGAAATCAATGTAGTCGTGCTACATCGTCGTCGCCGATTTTTATCATCATTAGTATCATCATCTCCATCACCATGATGCCCATCAGCATCATCATCGTCGTCACAAGCATCATCACGGGTTTTGTTGTATGGGTGCAAGCCTAGTTATTGCAGTCGCGGTGTTCGCTGTACTTCGAGTTCAACACTGTTCACTCGCTCCTGGTGCTGCAGCCACGTGTTCTCACAGCTTATTTACAGACCATTAGAAGCCTTGTTAATGCTTGTCAGCACATGACCAACAAGACCGGTTGATGTGCATGATGGTGGTCTGCAGAAGACTCGCGTGATTTTGTGCCATTCCGGCTCCATACATGGGCAAGCGACATGGCAATGTCGCAGATGCCAAGCCGCCCCAGGAGTCTACTTTGTCAATTTCTATATCTGCATAGGTTGCGAGCCGAGGCTTGCGAAGGCCTCTACGATAAGCACTTGCCGAGAAGGCCTAGATTGCAGAGCGTAGTCACTAGCCAGTGCTTGCTGTTGGCGAGGACGATGGTGCTGGATCGGCCATGTGGATGTACGGCAGAATCCTCAGCTTTCTTTGCTTATGGAACGACAGAAGCTGTCTGTCGCCCAGGAGCATTCACTTGCTTTGGTGTGGTACTGGCCCTTGCTGTGCAGTTCTACAGCGGGGTCAGCAAGCAACAAAGTTTTCACCGGCTCATCGAATGGGTGCGACAGAACGACGGCTTCGTGTCCTGCCAGATCAGTCGACTTGTGGAAACCCTTTTTCGCATGTGCGTAAGCGTGTCCGTATGAGGGACATCTTGGCATCACCTGGCATCATACGACAATCAGAGCCGGAAGTGCAGGTGTCTGGGAAAATTGCCTACATTGACGGGACTGGAAAAGGAGCGATGCTTCAAACCTCGGCACCAGTGTATGCCGGCGAGACTTTAATGAAGATTCCGCATAAGCTCCAGATCAGCGATGCTATTTGGCTGGAAAGAGTGCAAGCATTGACCTTGTGGCGTGCTCTACGGATTATTCATGCTGTGCATCCGGACAACTTGCTCGTCTTGAGGCCAACATCCGAAGGGGCCATACTGGTAGCAGGCTGCCGGCTCATGTTGATGCTCGTCCGAAATCGTAAGCAAGTCACCCCGAGGAGTCTTGTCTTCCCTTTCTGACAATAGACCGGTCGATGCAGTTGTGCTGGGCTTCAGGCCGATGCCTGTGTTTTTCAGTTCTGAATTTTGGGGTATCTGGTTCTTCTCAACACATGCAGGCACTGGGCCCTGAGCGGATGTGAGTTTGTGGCTGCAGGTATGAGTTCTGAACCGAGACAGCAAAAGCCAAAAGCGGTGGACATGCTTTGGAGGCCTTGGGTGTCACTGGGAAACTATCCCGAACAGTCGCGCCACGCGGCTGGGGATCTTTCAAAACGATCAATCTCCAGGTCATTCCGCAGCCGAGAAAGCCCCGGACAGTTGCGAACTCAAACCTTCTTCGAACGCTTTGCCTAGATGTTATTGTAGATCGAGCCGAGCGCTTCATCCCGGTCATCCCACCGCCGTAATGCCAACTCAGCAAGATTGTGTCATCAAGGACAGCATAGTCGATCTGAGCTTGGGGAGAAGTGGCGTGGCAGCCATGGCTGCCTGGCTGACCAGCCAGCACGGCCACTCAGAGCATTGGTAGTTGGCAGCTATTTGGACGAAAGCCAGCGTTTGCCATTTTGCAGTTCGAAGTGCGGCACGACAATTGCGAGCTTAGGCAGCTATCTAGCGAAGCCCGCTTCCACGGGCTTTTGGCAGCCCTGGTGGGATATGTTTACACCGCCATATTCTATGCCGTTTTACAGGCCAGAAACAGAACTTCTGCTGCTCTTCGGCTCCTACGAATTCCAAGAGCTTGGGCGAATGCTCTTCTGGCCCGACGCTTAAGCAGTGCTTGAGAGGGAGCGCTAATGGTTGCAACGGTCAGTGCAGCAGAGAGCCTTACCGTGGATGCCTGCAAAGACCAGCAAAATGCCGACAGCTTCTCTGTCCAAGAAGGGCAAGGAAGGGGAATACCTTCCCATTGTTAAGATTCTTAGCGATGAGCAAATTAACGTGAACGGATCTCCGTTCCGCCATCAACCGTACTGATCGAATAGCCTCTTGCAGTTGGGCGAAGAGCGTGGCCACGGCTCTGTGTCCACCCAAACCTTCCGCTGCTGCGAAGTTTGCTGCTGTGGTGCAAAAACCCTTGGCGACGACAGCTCGGATGGAGGGTGGGGTGCTGGGAAGGATCGGGGGATAGGGCTCACTGGGCGCCCATTCTCCATCCAAGGGAAAACGGTACGGCCATCTTGCGCCCATTTTGCCGGTGAGTGTTTCTGGGACGTCGATATTGCGCTCATGTTTGTCTGGAAGGCCCACATGGCGTCCATTTTCCAACGGAAAGCCCACGCCCATTTTTTTTCCATCTTACAGTGTATATAAAATGGAGAGAAAAAATGGGCGCCCCTGTGCCCCTTTCCAGCGGAAAACCCACGCCTGCTTTTTTTCCATTACGGTGTCAAATGTAGAAAAACTGGGCGCGGCCTCGGCCGCCCCAGGCGGCGGAGCCCCCACAGTGAAACGAAGGAGCTCTTCTGCAACGTGTGCGACATCCATTCTGCATTAATTGTTTGTTGCATATGAGAATATATGAGAATGAACGTTGCAGGTGTCTTGATTTCCAACGTTCATTGTTGGTAGCGGCACGTTGGTTTCGGGGCTCTGGGCGTTTCCAAGAAATGGGCCTACGGTTAAGGGTAAGGCTTCAACTGATTTGGGGACAGGGTTTGATGTTCAAGGGGTGTGGGGGTTCTATGTATCGATGCTGCGATCCGGTTTCCAGGGTTCAGGGAGTACGAAAAATCAGAACCAGAATCACTTGGAAATATCAGTGGAATCAATAATAGAAAACATAAGCAATTTACATATCGAAACCGAGAAAATCAATATCAATATAGTTGATATAATCAGTATAGGCCTTCAAAATCAACATCAGTACAAATTTATACAGATTTATTGATTCTAATCAATACCGGATGCTCGGATAATTAGTCCTAGCGCTGCCCTGACCAAGCTGGACTTTCGATAATGCAAGTTAACTTATTCCCAGCGTGTGAGGTACCAGCACGATTTCGAAAAGCTACAGCAGCAACCATGCGGCTCAGAAGCGGCCGGTTGCATCCGAGAGCTGCAGCTGACTCTCGACTGAGCTAACAACTTCTCGGGGCTGCACAGACTTCCGGCGTGAGAGGCTGCCAGATGACAACTATTAACGTTGCGGCCTATTGCATGTTTTCGATGTTCGTTCAAGTCCATCATCACTGCCCGACCCTGAGGATGGATTTTGACATGTACCAGGCTTCGTTGCAGCTCTACTATGCTCTACTTGTCAGTGCATGTGCAGAACTCTTCTTATTCCTTCATGAGAGGGAGTTGCGACGGCCGAGCAGGCCGCAAAACAGTGCCGTGTTCGGGTCCTTCTCCTGTTTGCCTTCGCTTTCTGGCCCTTCCTCTCTCCCTTGCTCGCTCTTCTCTCACATACGCAGTAATCTTTGGACAAGTATGACAAGTAGCACAGGTTATTTTATTTTCCTTCGAAATATACTGGACAAGCAAGGATCAATGCCCAGAATTTGCAGGTCGCACAGGCAAAGGTCTGCTTAAGTTGGAACACATGCTAACTGGGCAGCGTCGGCGAACTGTATAAGGTTTTGTTGGAGACGAGCTCTGTTTGTCTGAACGACGGCACGGGCTCGTATGGCCAAACTGCAGTGCTGTTCGACATGCTGCGCGCGTCTGCAGCCCGGCGAATCGCAGGCTATGAACCAGTTTATCCTTTCTCATGGCTGCAAAGGGCCAGGAGACAAGCCGCACATCATCCCTGTCTTTGCCCCTTGACAAGCGTGAGGCCTTTGGTGATGTCAGTGAACTTGCCCTTCATACCGCTTTTGCACGTGAGGACATGTTATTGATCTTGTAGGTGCACTTTGTACTCCCGTTATCAGTCTCGTGAGTCGACAATGACTCAATGAGCCAAGCTGAGGAGTTCCTCAATCACTCGCCCGAGCTGGCATCGGATTTGCATCCTGGCGGTTTCATGCGTTTCTTTTGAACGTGCTTCCCTGCACCGTCACGAGGAATTACCAGTTGGATCGGGAGGGCAACCTGGTCTTATGGGCGAAATGGGACATCCCTGCTGGAACTGAAATCACAAACAGTCACTTGGCTCACTTGCACCAGAAAGATGTCAAGAGACTTGCGAGATGAGTCAGAACTTCTGCATTCCGCGGTCTTCTTTTTCGTCCACTTGATTCTGGGACGAAGTATCGGCGACTGTGCTTCAGCACGTCCAAACATGAGTCCGCCCCTGGCCAGTTTGGGCTGTGTGACCGAAAACAGCACCGGAAAACACGGGGTGATCTAATCATGTGTCATATGGGTAGTTGTCTAAATTATGGTCCCATTTGGGGGTACCCTAAATATTAGGTGCCGTATTATAATAAGGACCCAAAAAGGGACCATAATTTTGACAACCACCCATATGCATGCGGGTAGCCGTCGCACACTACTCACTACTCGTCGCACAAAAGTTTGGGTTGCATGGTGCTGTCCTGTACTGTGCTACTGGCCATTCTGTGCAGCAGTGGCAGTTGCCGTTTCATGCAGCAGAGGATTTAGTTTGATGTTGTGCATAGCAGTCGTTCCGACATTACGACCTATTACGAGAATTCCGCTCAGGGTTGTTTTTTTACTGACTGCTTCTAAGGCTATGGGCGGCGTTCAAATCCCGAACTTCTGCAATCATATGGTTTTGCCGATCCGCCGTTTGCAGAGCCGTTTTGGTCGGTGAGGATCTTCACTCAGGCCCTTCAAGCCTTGGCAATTCTTGACATGCGTTCAGCTGATTGTTGGTCCAGGTGCTGGCAGAAAAATATTTCCCGGATTTGGATTTCAGCGAAATGGAGATAGATGTTCGCTTGGCAACTCCCTGGCTCGAAAATCTACCAGCCACTTGACATTGTTGATGCAGGGGTTCCACAAAGCATATGATGATTGTCAGTCAGATGGAGCAGGTCACCTCGCTGTGACTTCGACTGTTGCGTCACGTTCGTGGGGTCACAGCGAGATTGGGTGAGCTGGGGACCCTGAAATGCAGAAGCGCAACAGCCAGTTCTGCTGTCGCTGGTAACTTGATTCGACTCAAACCACCTCGTAACGCGGCCCGTGCACGAAGAAGGACTGCGAAAACACACACAGACACACACATACACACACATCACACACACACACACACCCCAAAAAACGGGAAGTATCCAGCCTTTGTTGCTGCTCGCTCTCAATGATTCACGTAATTCGATACGTCCGTAAGCATTTACAGCCCCGATAGCATCTCTTGTACGGTTGAGCAGACTCCTTGTCAGAAACCAGAAACTTGGTAAATTTGTAGAGCAGTCGAAAGAGCAGCAAGTTGTCCCTTCTGCACGATCCCCTCGTGCATCTGCTTGCTTTGTCGGAATATGGGTTCGATAAAGGACGCCCGACAGATCTGAGGTCTCGCTTTGCACATTGACGCAACACCAAGAGACATGCCCAGTCTAGGTTTTGGAATCGACCTTCAATGACACGATACAAGGCCGTTATAAAGTCCGAAATCTCGTGCAACAACTTAACCATGGCGACGAAGGACCGGCCAGTAGATCTAACACTAGCTTTCTAAACTGCAGCAACAGGCATTTTCTGGAGGTTTTACTCAGAAAACAACTTTCTTGCCAGTCTCTTGGCAGCCTGTGGCAGGCAGCGAACGGCCTTGATTCTGCAGAGATGGCACTGACATCACTGCAAAATGAGCTCAGCAGAGCGAAGGGAACCGCACCTTCGATTCTAGGCCGGATTTGGGATTCCGCGCAGCGTCCATGTCGAATCCCTCAATCCTATGAACGACTCTGAAAATGCAGGTCTGGTGGAGACAGTCGCTGAACACTTCTTGTCGTGGTACCGCTACTTGCATCAGCATTTGGAGGATATTGTTGACGATCGGCATCCCACATTATCCCACATCTTTGCCTTTATTCTGCTCCTGACATGTTGCTTCGTCACATGAGCGTGCAGCGAGAGACACACGCTGCTTGTAAGCGAATTGTAGAACAGAGGCAGTGACCAACTGCTGCAGCCGTACCGACAGATGCTTGAAGAAAATCGCCTTGGCAATGCAACCAGCTCGGCGCCTCGCCTTACAACAAGAGGTTTCAGATGTTCACGAACTGTCGCGTAGTTACTTGGCACAGCATGCACTCTCCGCCGGCCTTCGAACGGCTTTCCGTGCAAAAAGGTCTGGTGGACCGCTGACGAGGGCGGAGCTGATGTTTCTCGCGAGAGGTCCTTTGCTGGCATCAGTGCGCATCAACGAACCTTCCCATTGTGCGGCTTCGTTCAGGTTTGCAAGCCAAGTTCAAGCTGAAGGCTCGAGCACTTGTCCAAGTTGCACAGTGTCCAGTAGCTGAAATACTGGGTTAGAAGCTTGTTGTCCCAGCTGCCAACTCGCCCGGCTGATGCGCACGTGACGCATCATCAAAGAGCAGATAAGCACCGTTGCAAAGTCGGCTTCAGCGCGGTGAAGCGCATTGAGTCTTGTGTTCAGTTCGGCCCTTGCAGCCATGGAGCACAACACGAAACTGAAATTGGAACCTTCGAGACAGACCAACCGGTATGCCGCATATGCATGGCCATTGTGAAATACTGCTGCAAGCATCAAACATAGACTTGTACTAGTTACAGCTCTAGTGTATATGAGAAGTTCTGGTTTAGCAGTTATGCAGTCTGATTTAAAATGCTTGGCTTTTCAGCGGAACAGGTCAACATCATAAGCCGGGCGACCTTAAAGGTCGGTGAGCAATCTCCTTGCATATCTTTCTCTGAGCAAACAGAGGACACCTCTTGCGGGCAGGCGACAGATCGAAGCGAGAGGTCTTGTGGAGACAAGGGCGTGATGCCGATCACACCGATCCCAGGAGGGATGCAAAGGGCGACCTTCGTGGGATTTGAGAGAAGCTGAAATCGTACCTTATCTACACTTACCGCCTGCAAGAAGTCTGAGCATGAAAAACCATATCTAGCTTCAGATTCATTCACAGCCACCCATGCGTATGTGTATGATTGTATATGTATATATGTGTATATATATATATATTGGTATATACATGTTCTTGCTATGGGACAGGCCACTCGCACGACGGATCATCATCTCATGACTGTTCACACTCAGGAGACACGATACATTGATATAGTGTTCACTTTACGGCAATAATTGGCAATAAACTGCCGGCTTACGGCCGTAACCGGCACCCTTTCATACCTGCGGCAATGCCTGGGCCGGACATTCGTAAATAATTGTTTACTGATACTCTGTCCTGGTTGAACTGACACACGGCGGTGAGCCCCTGTGAGTGGCAGGTGCAGGACTTTGCAGTATGGAGAACTCCTTGCGGGGCTTAATCTGTGAGCTCAATAACTCGGCAACGACAGAGATCGTTGTCCTGTTTTGAAGGAGACTCGGCTTCTGGAACTCTACGGTGGTTCGCGCCAAAATGAGTGAGCTCGGGCCTGAAGTTCAATTCGCCACGTGTCAGGATCTCCACTGCCCATGTTGTCCGGAGCACCGAAGAAACTCTCAACTCCACATCTGCGTGCATCAGCAACTCCAGATTGCATCCTGCAGCGTAGCTCAGGTATTTATGCGCCCTCACATATAAAGAAGCACTTCAGTTTCTGCGTGGGGAGCTGAAGCTGCTTGGCATAACTCGACATGGAATTTTATCTCTGTGCTGTCATGATTTTTCGCGGTCGTGTCGATGCGCATGCATTCCAGTCTGCTGCTCCGTGATTGACAGCATAGCATGGCAGCCGCCGGATTTGAGAATTTCTCCTGACACCCGCTAATTGCGCTACACCCACGATCAGACCATTCGGGGCTCCCTGCCATGCCAGCACTTCCGATTCTCCTGACGCTCCCTCATACGGACAAGAGTCAGACAACGACCGTTCCCGCTTCAGAAATAACGTGGTTGGCCAGATTTTGCAGAATCGATTTTGATTTCACCAGGTCCGACCGCATCATGGCTGAGTCCTTGCGGACAGCTCACATCATGCTCCGTCACATCCCAGAAGTGACAGCCGCTCAGCCAGGGTTCCAAAAAGTTCGCCGCCAGGGCAGCTTCATGTTCCAATGCTGTAGGTGACATGATACGCGCTTCATTCCTCCTGTTTCGTTTGATATAGCTTCGCAGAATTCGCAGTGACTTCGCAGCTTCGCCCTGATCCTGAAGGAGCAAACGAAGGTGTTCACCAGTACAATGCCTCGAGCTGTCGAATCTGTCGCCGCCTGTGCTTACATCATGGCTGTCCGGAGTGGTTCAGCTGGGCACTGGCTGCAATCTGAGGCTTTTCCCACCAGCGCCCTGCCCGATAAGAGATCTGCACGGCACTGAGACTCCATTTCACTGCAGGTTTGGCTGGCATGTGTCGCATGTGCCTTGATGCGCTTTGAGGCCCTGAACCCGATCGACAAGGACAAGTAGAGTGTTCGTGACATTGCTTTGTTGCTTGTTCCTGGGCTCGTTTGAGAAAGTGGCAGGGTGTTGTGGGCGCTGGCTGGTGGGACGTGGAGTGTCCAGACGACGTGCCTCCCTGGAGCGAGGCAGACGACCTAACTACCTAGCATAGCCTAGCATTTCTAGCATGCTGTCATGATTTGACATGGAATGCCCGCGACACATCGGCAGCTGCTGTCGGACGGAGGCGGGTATTGTTGATTTGCAGTGGCTCAGTGGCAGGTAGAGAAGCGCCATCCAGACTTTATGGATCAGCTGGGCACCTACTAAACCTGCTGGCCTCTTTTGCATTGTTCTGGCAATGAAGATTGTCACGGTTCCTGCTGGACATGAACATTGCAAAATTCAACGTAACCTGAAAGAAAGCACATTCTCGGAGGGCGCGGATTGGTAAACCGAGTGGAGTCGGAGCTGAAGCTTCAGGCGAGACTGTCCAAAACTGTGTTACATGGACCGACCGAGGTGGCACAAGAACCCCTTGGTTTGTCAATTCCCAGGTGGCGAAAGCATCTTGCTCAGCTTCGCGAAAGCCGAAAGACCTCTGTGAGTTTTTTGAAGGAGGACACTGTGTTTCGGGCCATGAGGCTACCTGGACGTCATCATGCGCTTGGAGAGCGTGCTCATCGACGTCTCGCGCCTACCATATGCACATGAAGACTCGCAGATCTATGCCTGCAAAACTCCACCACACCTCTAAACTTGCGCTGCTCCCAAGCACGCCACATCGGCTTCCATTGGTTTTCCGTCAGTTTTGGTAGGCGGAGCGTGCCTGAATGTGCCTGCTGCAACTTTCGCTGCTCGCTGTCCTGCTGCGAAATGCTGCGAACGACAAGTAACGCCCTGCCAAGAAGACTTCACACAAAGCGCCAAACCATGGTCACAACAATCTGAGAAGAAACACGCTCCTGCCACGGAGCCGGGTGGTGGGGCGGCAGGTATCCCAAGGGAGCCTGTGGCACTGTCATTCCTTTGCAGAGAATGCCAACTGACAGGGTTCATGTTCTGGCAAATTAGACAGACATACTGGTGACAAGTAAAAAGTGCCAGAGCCAGATACAGAGCTACAACATCTTAACCCGCACCTTCGCGACATAATAACGAACTTGATGCTGAAAACTAAGAAAATCCAAGAAGAACGCGCAGAGAAGGTTTGAACACTGGTGTACTTCTGTTGCACGCATACATCTAGCTTGTGGCATCCGGCATTTGAGGTTGAAATGTGCACATCGCCAGTTCTGATAGCCAGAAGCTTACTGGGTGATAGCCTGGTAGCTGTTCGTTGAGCATTGACCATCCAGATTAATCGAACCTGTCTCATCCCGGCTTCAGGTGAGCCACATCACGGTTCTTCAGCTGCTACTAGCGTACTTCAAAGGGCTGCTTGCCAGCACGCGAACCACATCACCACGTGGGAACTACACGCATCGAGCTTTGTAATTTTCAGCGAGAGTGAGCTGGCACGAATGCTCCACTGAGGGTACCTGTCGAAGAGGCACGGGTTGCTTCTGTGTCTGAAACACGAGTATCCGGTAGCTGCCAAAGCGCATGGCCTCCACACGTTCTCCACGCCATTCCCCAGATCGGATGAAAGACCACCATCCTGTTTACGAGAGACCAAACGAAGCTGACCCAGAGGAGTAAACATTAGAGTGACCTGCGACTCCGTCTGTCAGGCAAGCAGGCACACAGGAAGCACGCAGTGTTATGAATTTGTGTCAATGTTGGTTGCCTGAGTAATTGAGTCTGAGCAGAACTTCCCACCCGAACGAGGCGTGGAAGATGTCTTTGCCAAAGTTCGGGGTGGTGGAGGCCGAACGGTAGCAAGTCGACCCAAGTTCACGTGTTTTCAACGCAGACATCGGCAGTAAGGCTGCTTCAAAGTACCTGCTGCAGGTTCACCCTACTTCCGGCGGCAGTTTCTTGTGTGAGGCCTGTGGAAGAGAGTCGCTTTCCGATTGCAAGGCTAACAGACAATCTTAGACAAAGCCTTTATACGCCGGAGGAGCACCTCTTGTCCTCGCAGCCAACAGGCAAAGGGGACCTGGACCTATTGCGCGCGCTGGATGGGCGCACGCTGGATGGGCACAGCGGGACAGGTGATGGCACATCCACTTCTCTGGAAAAGAGATGTAGAGATGACGCCAGCATGTGGCTCAGCATTCCATGCACGACGTGCATCGTCGAAGGCTTGAATTGAAACATTGTCCGGGGGAGTGCCCAGGTGAAAGTCCCAGCATCATGGCTGCGGATGTCGAGCTGCCCTAAGCCAGCGGCACTGTGCACAAAGATGACCATGCCAGCAAAGGATTCAGATTGAAGCGAGGCAGGGCAAGGCAAGCCAAAGTTCGACCAAGTGCATGTGCTTGAATAGGTGAGTGAACTAGGAATGGCGGGCGGGCGGGAGGGAGGGCGGGCGCGCTTCTGCGAGCCAGTGACTGATTGAGCAAGTAGGTGGTTGAGGAAGTGCTTCGTGGTGCCAAGGCAGCAGAAGTGAAGCGACCTAAGGTCTCTGCTTAGTTTATGCTGTCTACACCTGGAACTGTCGGAGCTCGCCGAATCGCAGAGTCAAAGAAGTTTGTTGTCTTGGGAGTGGTTCACTGGGCCCCACTGTAATCATCCTGCCAATCCTTGTACAGCTCTCAGTACCCGAAACCTCATTGAAACTTGGTTAGGCCTTTTCCATCACGGTCATATTACCATGAATTACCGACTCACGGTGACCGGCAACCAGCAGGGCTCATCGAGCATGGTTTTGTCAGTCAGGGTACCGTGTGTACGCGGTAGAGCTCAGAACGTCCATGAATCGCCATGTGGACTACTTTGTCGGAAAGAGACGTGGGGTGTGTTGGATCGTCCTGAACCTAGCCGCATGCTTGTCGGGGACTCTCGAACCTAATCCTGCACCTGACGAACACGACATGTCAACAGTGCTAAGGAGCCTGGAACATCCGCCGCTTCTCAAACCAGAGACGTAAAGCTTATGTGTAAGGATCTGGGGCCTGGGGTAGGTAACAGTCCAAGCCATGACGAGAAGGGCAAGTGGCATTTTGTGTCATTGAGACAAAACGTGGTTCCAACAAACGCCAATACGGTAAGTAAGGGCTCAGTATCCAAGTTAGAACTTGGATATTTGGGTAACTGCAACTGATGTCCCAGCATTTACCCTTACTTGCCAGGCCAGATGCACCGGGTTCAACTTATCCAAGCGAAGGGTCCAAGTACGAACATTCCATCATCGGGCTCAGTATACCGTACATCGTTAAGCCGTCAAGATGTGAATCGTTATCTCGCGCTCTATGTATCTGACATGTTCTAACTGCTTGGAGCCCAAGGCTTGAGCTGCCTATGCTGCTACGGGCACTCTCTAGAATTCGGACCCTTTCAGTTCCAGTTTTTGCACGGTTAAGTTAGGGAAACATTCAGGGTTGAAGCCTGCAGCATCCTGCAGCCCAGCACAGTACAGTAGAACTGCGTTGTAAGGGAACGCGCGGGACTTGTATCTCTGGCGTCTCCCAATCACTGTGTCCCTACTCCTTTCCCCGAGCACCAAACATGAAGATCTAAACCCTACAAGAATTTGAGGTTCAGAGCAGTGCAGCTGTCGGAGATACCTGCGGACTGTTCTGGCTCAGCTTCGACAAAGTCGCAGCACAGTACGGTTAGCGCGCGCCAAGTCCGGCGTATGTAATCCCCTTTGCAATGAAGCTTCTTCGTATGTTTTATGTTCTCTGTTTTCTCGTACCTTTCACGCTGTCGATGAAAACAGCCGCTTGGCTTTCTTTTCTGCAGTATCCGGTGCTTCGCTTTGAGCTGCTACTCGTCTCATGTGTCTCCAAGCAAGGATTTCTCCCGATCCATCCCGATCAACGACGCTGCCAAGCAGGGGATGGAGCGCATCCTCTCAAAAAACGTGGCCCGGAGCTCTGCCCGGTCTTGTCTGCATTTCGCTTCGTGCCAGGCTTGCCGGTGCTGCCGCCCAGGTCGACGACCTTCAAGAAGACCAAAGCTTGCCGGACCCGGAGAACCATTCGAAACAGGAGGAGGGCATGGAGGGCATGGGTGACCTCGGCCGGAACTTGGAGTTCATGATGATGAAGATCGCCCAGCTGGACTACTTTGCGGGGAGGGGGGTGGCTGTTTCCGGAAATGTGGGCCGCAGTCAATGGCAGTGTATCAGGCAGAGCCACATGCGCATCCGCAGCTTGCCAGGAGACGGTCGTGGAACTCCAGCAGCTGCAGATCAAAGACATGAACGAGTGGAGGAAAGCCCACATGAGCCAGGAACACAACGATTCTCAGCAGCAGCCTCCTTCCACCCAGGAGGCCAACAGGAGCTGAATGAACGCAAAAGTCAAAGACGAAGTGTGACCGAGCCACTGGAGGGGTTGCACAGTATCGGATGACATTCCCTTGCAGGTGCAGCTGGCGGCAAAGACCAAAATCCGTCAGGCGCATGACACCCTGAAGGGCGTCCTCCGTAAGCACAAGAAGCAGCGAGGCTCTGGAGTACAGAAGTTTAGACACTGTCAAGTTTTCCTTCCAAAATCCAAACTATACGAAAATTATGTAATCATGTAGAGTTTTTTGCGTGCCTTTCCAGATCCTAGGCAGCTGGAGACACGCACCTTCGCAACCAAAGCCCACGAGACGCAACAACCGCAAAAGCAGCCGCAACAACCGCAGGCAGTGCCGAGGAACTCCACAGAGGCCCAGATGGTCCAATGAATGTTGAATCAGTGTACTCAGTAAACAATCAACAAGGTTTAGGCGAGTTCTGGGTCCCGCAAAACTCCTGGATTGCCCTTGAGACAGCGTTTCTTGGTACTTATAAGCTCATACTCACTATGTCGTAGATGCACAGCAGAAAAGTAGTCAGATTGCATTCAAATTGGTTATGTTAGGTCGGGATGAAGCATTGAGTTCTGCTACATCTGCTACTATACCACCGAATGTGTCTCAACTCGGCGCTTATCTCCCACACTCAGATGTGTGTGTGTGTGTGTGTGTGTGCGTGTGCATGTGTGTATATATATATATATAAAGATGTACTGTATACAGAGACAGAGGGAAAGATGTTCGAAAATTCACATCGACAGAGACCCTTTGGGAGGCGGCGCCAGGCGAAGCTGGGAAGGCTCTGCTGCAGCGCTCCGAGCGTGGAGAGGAGGGGCGGTCCTTGGATGCGGCTTGGCGAATTTTTTCGCTACAGGCTTTAGAGCCTTTACGACGTTTACGCCGCGCAGAAGAGCTGATTTTCCATTCGTCGCAGAAGGGCGTCCCAATCAGATCAAGGGTCTGGGGTGGGTCAAAGTTGTACGGGTTCTTTTGGGCAGATATAGATTGGGTGACTGTTTATGCTCGGGAACTGTAGTGCGCATAATTGGGCTGACGATCCAACTGGTAAACCCATCTGAGCCTACAAATAGTTTTTGCTACCAGCGCGTCGCTGCGGGACCCGGACTCGGGCTGGAGCCCAGGCGACCGTGAACTCCAAGTTTGTCGAAACCTTCACCTCAGGCACAGGGATCCAAAAGAAGCATATCTGGAGCGGCAGACTCCAGCACATTATGCGAGTTCATGTGCGATCACTCTTCATTGTAGTTGCTGTTGTGAGTATGTTAAGCATGGCTTTATTCAGCCAACATGTGGGAGACTCATGTGGTATGTATATATATATATATACAGATGTACATCTACGAACTTATGAGTGTATGAATGTATGTATGTATGTATGTATGTATGTATGTATGTATGTATGTATATACACACACGTTATCTGTAAGTGTATATACACATGTATACATACATACATATATATATATATATATATGGCACCCAACTATTCACCCATATGGTTTCCCTTCTAGCACAGTCTTGGCATGCACCTTCTGTCGTATTCTTCCAAGGTGTTGTACTGTTCGAAGCCCAAAGTGCTGTGGCGTCACTAAACAACCTTAGAAGCAATAATTGTTGGCTCCAGCAGGATTGCTAGTTGCACTTCAGGCTCTTGAGGGTTGCAAACAGGTCCCAAGAGTTCCCCAGGTTTGGATTTCTTAGTTTTTACGGCGGAGCTTTTCGGGTACAGGGGGTCCCATGCTGGCAGCCGTCCAGAATTACGGAAATGCTCTGCCACATATGCTATATGCATACATATGCGGCACATGTGTCTCTATATATATATATATATGTATATATATATGTACATACACATACATGCACATGCACATATACAGAAGCATACACAGAAACCTGTAGAAAGGCATAGACATAGACGTCTGCTTAGAATTTTTCTCGCGTGTATGTACATGTACAGTACGTAATACATTACATACTTTACATTACATTGCATTACAAAGTACTTTAAATACGCATATACACCTGCAAATGTATACATACAAGTACGACCTGAGGGTGCATTGAGGTCTGCAGTCTTGCGTGTCTGCTTGCGGGAGGTTGGTACTGTGGTACAACCGTACCTGGATAGTTGCTTCTGTGATGTTTGAGCTCCGTATACAGGTACCGGCATGATTGGGGATGCGCTCGGAGACGCCTACGAGCGAGCCAAGGACCGTTCTCGGCTGCCCAATATCCCTGACGCTACTACTACGCCTTTCCAGACAGAGCTCAAACACACTGATTTGTAGGGCGTTTGGGTGCTAATTCTTGTCGAGGAACCATTCTGTTCATTTCGCCCTAAGACAGCTTCCACCAGGCATAATGCAAGGTTTGTCATTGCAAATGGTCCAGGGAAGCCTTGAAACAAGCTTGGCGAAGTCGTGTCGCGGCGAAACTTGGGAAGCATGTAGGCGAATAGCAACAGGGCAGGGAACGCACCACACACCGGCTTGGGCACCTGAGCCTTTGTCGGAGCTTGTGGAACAGGCGTTCCCATTAAGCTTCCTATGCTCTTTTAACATCTAACACTGCAGCGCAAGCCGGCTGAGATTTGGATGACGGATTCAGGCATTCATTGAGAATTTCAGGTTTGTCGTAGGTTCCAGATGTGGGCCAGGCCGTTGTGCATAAACATACTGCGTGCGATTCCTTTGAGCCAAGGACACGTTAAGTTCAAGTTCTTGTGTGGTGCCTCGGTACACGCCCAGAACATGCCAGTAGCTCTGAATTGGGATCATTCTGGGGCTAGCACATCAATCCAAGCGGCAATTCACAAACCCACTTAAAGCAGGCAACCCTAACCCGAAACCACGCAGGATCCAGTTGCCTTTGTGGTCGAGACCTTAGCTCGACGCGCGCATCAGGCACCTTTGTCACTCTGGTACTGGGGGTTGACCTAAGTCACAGTGTGTTGGGGAAGTCCTTGCGTGTGAGCGTGGACAATCGGGGCCCGCCCCGGCATACATCCAGACATCAACCGTTGCAGCGTCCACACTAGAGCTGCTGCAGAAAACCTAGGCCGGACAACCCGTCTCCTTCTTGTGTAAGCAGTAAGCATGCTGTCAGCCTGATCGCTGCTGAACACACCCACTGACTAGCACCACCAACTCTCTGTAGTCCCCCCTTTAGTTTGAAGCGTTTGGGATAGTAGAGGTGGTAAACCTTTCAGGTTTGAAGGGCTTCCTAGCTTCGGTTTCAGTCTTAGGCACTCTCTAGATACAGGTCCTGCTGAACCTTCGATGCTCCTGCTTCTCAAGGGCACGTCAATGGGGACTCCTATGTTTCTGTGCAGTGACTTCTCGGCCTCACGCAGCGTGTCTCTGCAGTGCCGGAACTTGTTGAACACTGTGCGACATAAGTCTACTCTTCGTAGTTTGAGCAGTGCAAAGTCGTTCCGTTTCCGTGCCCTGTAGAGCAAGTCAACAGCCAGTCCATGTGAATTTTTTCGACTTCATGGCCTAAGCACGTCTTTCAGCATGTCGTCGCCTGTGCGATGCTTGCTGGAACTTAGCTCCTCGCCGATGAGTAGCCATGCTCATGAGCTGACAACTCATAGATGAGCATGTGCGCTCTCCAGATTTGGGTCCTGTAGAAACCGCCTGAGTTGGATGTGCAGACGCCTGCGGAGCTGAACTGGTTGTCAAAGTCAGCGAAGACCCGATGGCACGAGTCGAAGCTGCAAGGGACAGCAATGGTTGCTGTCTCCAATGCCCGCAAATTTGCAACGAGCGCCAGTCGAAGATGCTTCCAGCGCTTCCACCAAGAATCCACAGAGTTGCTTTTCAGTCGCCGAAAAGAACATTGTCGACGCCAACTTCGACCCCTTTCCAAGCACAGAGCGTCAGAAAAAGATTCCAGGCAACCCCGCAGCTCCGAGTCGTTCCCACCAGATGTCTTCGATCACCTCAACTGAAGCTGTCAGGACCCAGGCCAGGCTGTTTCCCTTTCGGTTTCAGAGCCGTAGCACACCAGAACATACATCTTGTCATGGTGGTTATCGCTCCACACCATGTAGAATCATCTATGTTCTCAAGTATGGCAACACATCTCCTCTTTGGGGAACAAAGATGATGTCTACATAGTGTGGAGAGATATTGACCATGACCAAGTGTATGTCAGGCGACACGGTTTTGAGATCGAAAGGGAAGCACCTTGATTGGTCTTTACGCATAGCTTCCAGTTCCCGAACAACTATCCAGTGTACTTCTTCCACCTCTCGCTGATTCCAGAGCCCGCTCGACAAATCATCGTGGCCAAGGGTGAAAGCCTGTCAAAACCAAAGGCAACGACAGACGCTGAGGTCAAGGCTTGTCCGAAGGCCAAGCACAAGGCCAGAGGCAATGGCAAAGCCAAGGCTTCTGCAAAAACGTCACCAAAGCGGGATAGGCCCCTTTTTCCGATGGCCGACAGGCCTGATAGGACGCAGCAGCAAAGTTCGAGTTTTCACGAAAGCTAGCTCCCTGGAGCTTGCGGGAGATCTTGTTTACAGCTTCTTCGTTGGAGAAATCAGCCCGGAGGCCCCCTTTTGTCCGATATCTCAAGGACTTTCAGGGTCGCAAGGGCGGGGGGGTGCCCCCCCCCCCCACCCTTATTGGTCGATACCAGACGCCTGCCCTTTCGATTAGGGGCACTTTACAACCAGAATCCCCACTTCACACAACCCACAAGCCTTTCCAGAATCCCCACTTTGCAACCGGTTGCGAATGCTTCTTAACCATCGTATTAACTGAGAACGTCAAAGCCTGGAACCTCCAGCAGCATCTTGCACAGCAACCATGCAGGTTGGAAAGTTTTGCTGGTTGCAATGTGGGCGTTCTTAAGCCGAATCCAAGACATATACAAATTATATATATATATATATATATGTCTGTGTCTGTGCGTGAGAGTTCGTTATTGATGTTTCCTTCGTCGCTCACCTCACCGAGCTAGTTGAAGTAACATGTGTCGTTGCCAATATTCAGGTAGTAGTTGATGTTGATAGACGTGCAGACATGCAGACATGCAGGCAGACATGCAGACATGCAGACAGACATGTGCAGACAGACATGCAGACATGCAGACAGACATGCAGACATGCACGCAGGCATGCAGACATGCAGACAGACATGCAGACATGCAAACAGACATGCAGACCTGCAGACAGGCATGCAGACATGCAGACATGGAGACAGACATGCAGACATGCGGACAGACAGGCAGACAGACATGCAGACATGCGGACATGCAGACATGCAGACATGCAGACAGACGGGCAGACATGATCCACAGTTGTAAAGTGTGGATTTTCACATCGAAAACAGTGTCTGTGGTTGTAAAAGTGGGGATTCTGGTTGTAAAGTGGGGATTCTGGTTGTAAAGCGGTTAATCTCCGGCTCCCTCCCCAACCCTCCTCGAGGCCCACCCCCCGCCCACAAGGCCACCTGCGCTCTGGTGGTTGTTGATTTCAACGAGTTGAGCTCTTGTGCTTGCGAGTTGAGCTCTTGTGTTTGCCGTGATTGCACCTAGATGTGATCAAACTCTCCGCATGCACGCTGTGCGCCACCCTGACGCCCGAAAAGACTATCGTCTCTCTACCTTCGTGTTCCTCGACATTTCAACTCTTTCTCCCTAGCTTTCGTCCGCCCTGCTCCCAAGTTGTAGAAACACACGGCCTCCCTCTGTCTTGCAAGCCCAGAAGCCTTGAAACCTGCTAAGGCCGAGACCGTCGTGGACACTGTGGAGATGGCTGTGGACCCCGCGCACGGCATTGTAGTTGATTAGGAACACGCTACACGGGTTCCATTTCCAGGATACGTAAGTTGCTGCCGAAATCTGAAGTTTGTGGCTTGGGATGCCTTGAAGTCGGAAGGGTCTGAGCGCAAAGACGGGCTCTCGCGAAGGATCCGGATAGGCTGCACTTCATACATTCTGCACGCACAACTTTTCCCCTGTCCTTTTTATGCACATGGATCCTGAGATTCGTTGTGGCAAAGGCCGCCCTACTCCTCGAACGACACTCTTGGAGAAGGGCATGGAGTTGAAATTTGTGCGAAACAAAATCCTGGAAGCAGGCGCCAACAGCATGACAGGGCCCACTCCGGATGGCCTGCGGGCATCAATCTTCAGTACAGCACCCCAATCGGATCGCTAGGCCCTGAACCCTAGCCCTAGACACTAAGAATCTAACGTAAATGCTGAGCCTGCAACGTTCCGTGTTTGCTGCACCCCTGAGGACATTTTGTCTCGCGGCTTCACGGACTCTTGGGAGCAAGTTTGGCGTTGTGTCGGCAAATCATTGCTGTCATGATTATTCTTGTGAGTGTTCACATTAGGTGTTATTTTAACCGTATCTATGTCATAGCCCTGAAACCCACCCCTCAAAGACGTAAGGCCTGAGCCGCAAGCTCCCGACCCAAAAACTAATCATACGGCGAAGCCTTCCATCTTGAAACCCTCGTCAAGGCCTCGCCCCCAAGCTTGTTGGCTGAGGATTTCGACGCTGATTGCAGCCCTCGCTCCGCGCCTGGCGTCCAGGTGCGTGAAAGGGGGTCGGCTTTATGCTTTCTGGATGCTCTAAATCCCGAAAATTTGGGGGGTTTAGGGTTTATGGGTAATCGGGAACAGCCAACTGAAAGTATCTGGTTGAGGTGTGATTTGCGGATGTTCTTCCTGGGTCGTCAACACCATGGCAGGGTGAGGCTAGTACAGGTCCCAAAAGACGAAGCCCACGCCCAGCCTGACGCCTACACCCAGGCACGACATAATCCTGAAACCTCGTACTGGAACCCTTTCAAACGGTGCGAGCAGCAAACACAAAAAAATGCTTTAAAATCCTGGACCCCAAACCCCGAGCACAGGTGGACGAGAGAGGCTTTGGCGTGTCTTTCGGAAGGCAGAAGCTTACCTGTTCAGGAACAGCCCTTTGCGCTGACGTTAGAATTTCATTCCTGCTTAATTTGACACGGAACCTCATGTCAACCCGAAGATGCGCGCTTCCCAAGGCTAACTATTCTGTCAGACATCTCAGTGGCCGAATAATTCTGGCAGAAAACACTAGCATTAACAGGTTTCGGCGACTCATGTTTTCGCTGATGCTATCAAGAACCTAGAGCACCAAAGATAGGGAATCGGACGGCATTTGCAGATTCCGTCTTGCTTTCTATGGAGCCTGATCGAGACTAGAGAGCGGTTTATGGTCAGGCGTGGGGTGGTGGGGGGGGTGGGCTGGCGTGTGTGGAGAGGGGTCGGGGCAGTTGGGTGGGGTTGCGGCCAGGGGCCGGGTCGGGCCGGGATCTTACGCAAGCCAAGCCATAAACCCTATAAGGTAGGGCGTGTTCCTGTTCCTATTAACCTTAACTTGTATGTAATACTTTAAACTTTAAACCTTGCACCAAACCTAAACCCCGCCTCAATGCAGGCGCTAAGCTTGAAGCAGAACATAAACCGTCACCTTAACCAACCTACACCCCAAAGCTCTTGTCCACTCGCAGCCGTATAACTTTTAACTTTAAACCCTAAACCCGAAACTCAAAAGCTTGAGCTAAACCCCAAACCCCCAAACCCCACAACCACACCACAGGGGGAAGAGGGACCCCACACCCCACCCACAAGGGGGGGGGGGATCCTGGACCATGGACCATGGGGGGGAGGGGGGGGTAGCCGCGGGGCGCCTGCTAGGTCTAGCAGAAGATCATCAGAAGTTTTTCATGACTGGCAAAAACCGAACATTTGAACTTGCAGCCCAAAGCCGCACAGCCCGTAGTCCGAAAGCGTATGCATTCAGGGTACAACCGAAGCAATCCAAACATTGAAAATGCTCACTTCCGGGCCCTGGATTGGGTGGATCCCACAGGAAAGCTAGTGCAGTGCCCCCCCCCCCTGTTTTCCATCCCAGCTCGTGCAGTCACCAAGACCGAACCTTGAGTGAGATTGAGGGAGGGAAGGAGGGAGGGAGGGAGGGAGGGAGGGAGGGAGGGAGGAGACTGCTCGGTAAGGACTATCGAGATTTGTCGAGTCTATCTTGGAAATTGTTCAGTGAATGTCAGAATGTAGCGTTGGACCAACTGTTTTTCCCCTGCCCCTCTGTGAGAGAAGTGTTAAGATCACTCCCCTAGTCTAGAGTCGCCCCGCTATATCAGGAAGCCCGCATACCTGAAGCACTGGACTTAAGCCTGAGCTGTATTCACAGCTTTTGAAGATGTAAGGAAGTGCTGGTTTCGGCTCATGGGCCAGCAGCTGACGCTGTTCTTGGGCTGGCTAGGGGTTGATCTTGGGTTTAGGGTTGTGGACGAAAGGTTTTGGGGCTTTTGGCAATGGAGTGAAGGACAGATGGGTGTGCATTCTAGGTTGACTTGGGAGCTCAGGGTTTGCCACCCAACTTCCAGCTGCGACACCGCCATGACGTCAGTCTTGAAAAGGACAACTCGACACGCTGCAAGGGCCTACGGGTTGTCCTGTGCACCCCTGGTACGGCCCCGAACCTTCTTTCCTGGGATCCGAGCTGTAGGCGCTCGTTCTTATATAGTACATGGTAGGTATGAACGCGGGATCCGGAAATAGGGTCCGCCGGATTGCCCCCAGAACCAAGTACCCTGAGCCTCCAATTGGCGGTTGCAATTGTAGTATGGGGCTCTCCCCGCTTCAGCACTCCCGGATTTCTTCCGGGAAGTTGAAACTCATGAGAGAGGCCAGCTTCAACTCAGTCTAGAACCATAGAAGCAGGGCTTGTCCCCGACCATTTCTTCAACAATGAAAAGCATAAGCGAAATCAGAGTTGTTGGCATAGATTCCGTTATGGGTAGGCGGGGCGGTCGCAGATTGCCATATTCAAGTATGCGTCTTGTGGGGATTCAGGTGCATCTCGGTATTCTCACGGCGTGAGAGTGTAAATCTTATAAGGTTGTATAGAGAAAATAGACTGCTACAGTCCGATAAGTATCGGGTTGGGGCTAAAGGTTATAAACTGGACTGATGCAGTCCGACGGGTATATGGTTTAGAGGAGCATACATCTACATATACATTTTGTGCGTAAATATGGTGACGCCGCCCGTACGGGGGCTTGCGTTTGGAGACATTCTCGTGTTAGTGCAAGACGGCGGCGTGCCCAAAATCAAGCGAAACGCACGTTTTGCACGGGGCATGCGCTTTCGCAGGTGCCGAAAGCACTAGAAGCTCACACAAACTTTTCGTGAAAATGCATTTTCGTGAGGCGCTTGTTCGAAATTTGAGTGTTCATTAGTCGGTGTGTCTTGAAAATTGACATTTTCAAATCTGTTTTGCTTGAAAATCGTGCTCTCGCCACAGCACGGATGTGTTTGGCACCGTAAGCATTTTGTGTTTTCTGAGGCCTTTTTTTCCGGAGAGTGCTTTTGGTAAGGGATAGCTTGAAAAAGAAAGGCTGCAAAATCGTGCTCTGGCCACAGCGCAGGGGTGTTTGACACCTTTTTCTGGGGGCAGAGTCATGTTGCAGGTTTGCGTTGCTTAGAGCCCTGTGCCGTTCTAAAGAAGGTAAAGCTTTGAAGCTTCTAGGAAAACCTTTCTTACTATTATGACACATGAAAAGTTAGTGACTGCCTTGAGCCCTTAATATACGATCGATTAGTATTGAATGAGTCCGAGAGTAAAGTTCTAGTGCCGTTGGGCCTAAACCATTTCCGAAGAGTCTTATCTCTTGAATAGATGGTAAGGAATTAAAACTTCCAGAACAATCCTTGCTGCTTGAGCTGGTTCAAAAGTTGTTGACTGCCTTTGGGCCCTAATAGGAGAAGCTAGAGCAGCACAAATAAAGTCAGCGCCAGACATCCCTGCAATCTATGCTCGGGCCAGCAAGAAGCTTCCAGGATGTGCGCGCAAAGCGGACGTCAATAAGTCCCCCCACCCCCCCCCCCCACCCCGGTCCGAAATGTGTCTGAATGCACGGCCCCGTACAGGCGCCATTTCCATAAATATGTATGTATGTATAAATATATAAATATATATACATATACATGTATCTATTTGTTTATATGTATGGACAGATGTGTATATATATACACACAGAAAGATAAGTATGTGAATAGATAAATACATGAATATATTACGTGTGTGTGTATATATATATATGAATGTATGTACTTATGTATGTATGCATGTATGTACGTCGAAAGTCGTATTGACGAAATCATCCTAACACATGTCGAGACAATCCCTTATGGAACAGCATGATACTGCGCAACTCAATCTAGAACTACACAATATGGTAAGCGTTAGGGCATAGCAAAGACGTGAGCAAACACCGACCATGGAGTGTGACACCTGTGCAAGTTCTCAGTCTCAGGTGCCTGACGGGGGGCCTGTACAACGAATATATTAAGCTTCTATTAACTTGGTGTGCGGCTCATCACAGAAAAGGGGAAACCGTAAAGGAACCTGTGACAGACCTAATCGTTAGACCTAACACGGCAAGGAGAAACCCTAAAGTGAACTAGTAAAGCCTGACTTCACAGTGCAAAGCCGCAAGCCCTAGACCATTAATCACATTCTTTCGAGCCCACTGACAGGGATGCTACCAAGGGGTGTAGTTTTATAAGACATAGCGTTACAGTAGAGGCCGAAACTCAATATCCTCAATCCCTAAGGGTGAAGTTTCGGCCATAGCTTAATCCGACGACCCTGTTACAGTTGTGCAAATTTCAGCTTGAGCCCGAAGCTTGAACGACGGCGTCAAAACCAGCCCAGGTTCGACTTCAATTTCGGCACGAAGCGCGTGAATTGGCCAGCGCCAATCAAGACCACAGGGTTATGAAAATCGCCGTAGCAACCAGCAAAACCCGAAACACCGGAAGCATCGAAGCTGGCCCCAAACGGTTTAAAGGAGCCGTAAAGCAACCCCTGACCGACCCAAAGCATCGGGTGCAAAAGTCCTCACCTCCGAACTTCAGCCCTAAGGTTCCTCCTTGGATTTCCAGCTCTAGGTCTGCAGGTCAGTTCTTTGGGTGGGGCTTTGTGCCTGTCTCAACTCCCCTGAAGGATGGCTATTACAATTGGCAAGGGCCTGGCAAACTGTCGGGGCGGTTTTGGCGATGTCATGAAGCAAGCTTGCGATTTGGGGTCTTCGTGTCGGCTCATTTTGGAGATTCAGGGTCACGGGCTTACGGCTAGAACTAGGGATTTTAGCTTCGAAGATTAGGGTTCATGGTTTCTTGTGTCCGGCCAATGTTCAGGGTTCAGAAAAATGGCTTGGAACTTGAAGGATGGCAAGCTTTAACTTTCGGACCTTTCCCAGTTTTTTCACTTTATCCATGCGTATGCGTAGAAGGTGAACCTGATTTGTTCGCATATGTTCGCAAACTGCCTAGATGTTCCTCGTGCTGCAGGGTTCGGGGGGTTTGCTCTTTACTTTTCGGGGTGTGGGTGGTTTCCAGGGGAGGTTTCAGAGGTGTGCGGGTGTATGATTTGGGGTTTGACGTCAGTGACAGTTAGTGGGCTTGGGTATCCTGAAACCCAAATCTTGGATTCTTTGTGTCCTCAATCCTGCCGGCGGTTTTAGATCATTAAACATCACATCCTAGGAAGTGCATCGGCTCCGAGATGGCAAACAACATCCCTCCGTTGAAGGCTCTGGGCACCACGAAGGGTCTGCAACCCACTTCTGAGGTTCAGCGAGGTGACACCGTGCCTTGTTGTAACACAAATTGCTGCTACAGGTTATGCCATACCCCTCCCACTGCCACTTTCCCCTGCTATTGATGTTGCTATGGATCTGTCTATTATCGCTGCATCAGTGTTGCTCTTGACGTTTTCTAAACATGTCGAAACCGTGTCCATGATAATCCTTCGTGCTAGTCACTAGTCCCCGAGAAGGAGCTATCTGACACCTAAGCAGGCCGTACTCACCATGGGCGACGAGCTGTCGAAATGTGCAAAGAGAAGCAACGCCGGCGACGTCATCAAGTGCCTGGGCATGCGCATCGTGCAGACAGTGCCGCCCCTGAGCCGTGGCCAGAACATGGCTGAAGGGAGTAGCAGGCGGGCTGTGGCCGCCTTCTTGGGTTTCTTGCCGCTTGTGTGTAGGAGGTCAGTTCCGCACCTGGCCAAGGAGCTTCCTGAACAAGATGAGCCTTGGCTAGACCCAGAGAGGGGCCTTTGTTGAAAGTCTCCAAAACCTACGGCCTTGCGACAATTCTCACAGACAGATAAATATTTTGGTTCTGGGGAGACGCATGGAAACTGACCAGGTCCGGGCCCCAAACTCTGACTCTGACCCGACAGGAGCGAAATGCTTACCGAATACTTGCAGGGCTTTGCCCGCACTGCTGCCACGGTCGCCGGCCAGGCGCCCTCCGGCAACAAACCAAGTGTCTACCTCGCCGGATAATGCTTTGCCGGTCTCGGTCAAGGGTGCAAGGCTTTTGGGTTTCGGCGTTTAGAACTGAGGGAGCGGCCAGGTTTTTGGTTTTTGCATGTGAGGGCTGAGGGACTTGCGTTCTTCGGCTTCGGGTTTAGGACTGTAGGGCAGTTTAAGTACGAGAGTCCCGTGTGCCTTCTGCAGGGCCTAGTGACATAGTGAAGCGATGAGTGATGGCCTTGGTTCAGCCGCCGTGCCGAATCCCAGCAGTCACGTCAGATGCATCTGACTGCATGAAGCTGTCAGGCCCTCAAGGACGGCGTCGCTCTCATCCAGGACTCGGGCCGGCTGCAGTAGCAGAAGCACATCAGGGGTGGAAACACATTCCAGATCAGGTGGAGAGGCTTTGAAAACGCCAGCAGAGCGCAGAGCGGCTTAGTTAGGACGCCTCTGTGTCTACATTCCCCCAAGCGGGCACGGCCCCGGTCGTGAAGCACGAGAGCAGGCGCGCCTGAGACCCGCGTCACCGTGAGCTGCATTGACAACTCTTGGTTGAGGGGTTAAGGGCTTTGCATCCAGAGTGATCGTTTAGGCTTAGGGTTCAAGGTTCAGGTTTCACGGCTTGGGTTTGGGCATTGGGTCAGGCTTTTCAACCTTTGCGGTTCAGTTTGGTTGGACGTATTCTCTGCAGATTTTCATGATTGCCAAAACGCCAAGCCACCTGCAGGTATATGAGGTATACAGCTACAAGGTTTTCTTCGGGTCACTTTCCATGGATGGGGATGTGTCCTCCTCCATGTTGAAGGACCCTAATTCGCCCCCGGCTTCCACTATCCGTTAACGTTACAACTAGCCTTAAACCGCGGGAAATGGAACTGTGGTTTCCAGGTTCTTCTTGGGGTAAGGTTGCTGTCCACAGGGCTGCCCCGACGAGGAACTTCATGATCCAGACCCACTCACAGCGCAGCTTGGACGCTGCAGGATGCAGGTGCAAGGAACTATGCGCTTTTTTGGCGTGTTCTGTGGCCTGCTGACTTCCTAAGCTCCCGCCTTTTCAAGAGCGGCTCTGGCCGGCATGAGAGCAGCCCTGACTTAAGGCGTACTTTCGACAACCGAGCATCCTCACTGAACTCGGAACTTTGAACCACAAGCCCTTGAACCTTCGGCAATACGATGCAATATGCCCGGGCCCTGAAATCCGGAAATCCTAAACCCGAGACCAGAGTCTAACAAAAATCTCAAACCGTTTGCGTTTGAGGTAAACCCCAAACCCTGATCCCTGTACATCCCTGTACCACATATTGCGACGTCACGACCAGCCAAGCTCAGGGGCCCTGGGGGGCTTCAGCCGGGAAAGGTCGGCCACTGAAGGAGCCGAGCTTCCCATAATCATATATTTGGAGGCTCAGACAACATTAACAAACACTACTATAGGGATTGTTTTTGTTTAGCGGTGGGTATCCCATTTGCAAGCTGGGCTATGCACTGTAGCCCTATTCTGCCAGCGCCAGTGCCCGCGCCAGCCAGCCCCCATGCCAGCACGCGCACCAGCGCCAGTGCAAGCCCAGTGCCAGCGCCAGCCCTTCAACCCGCCCCCCTCATTTGGCGATGCAGGTTGACCACATGTCTTAAACCCACCCCCCTTCTGTGATGACGATTGCTTGCATTTCTTACACCCGTCCCCTCATTTGGCGGTTGATCGCATTTCTGAAACTGCCCACTTTATTTGGCGATCCGAGTCGTTCACATTTCGTAAACCCGCCACCTCATCAGGCGATCCCGGTTGATCACAGATTTTAACCCTGGCTGATCATGTGTCCATCCAGTTGATCATATGCCCGCCCTGTCATGTTGCCATCCAGGTTGATCACAGTTCCTGTAAACCAGCCCCCCCCTTTGGATCCAGGTTGACCGCATTTCTTGAACCCACCCCGTCATTCGGCGATACCAGTTGATCACATATATCTTAAACCCGACCCCCCCGTGTGGCGATGCAGGCTGACCACATATATCAAACCCACCCCGTTTTGGCGATACCGGTTGTTCGCATCAGTTTCACCCGCGCCCTCATTAGGCGATCCTGGATGATCACATATCTTAAACACGCCGACTCATATCGCATATCTTAAACCCGCCCGCTCCTTTGGTGATCCAGGTTACTCGCAACCCCCGCGTTGGCGATGCAGGTTGATCACATATCCCTCATTTGGCGATGCAGTTTACCACCCACCCCCTTTTGGCGATGCCGGTTGATCCCGTGTTTTAACCCCGCTCCCTCATTTGGCGATGCAGCCTCAAGATGCGATCCCGGTTGAGCGATCCCGGTGGATCACATATCTTATAACCGTTACAACCCGCCCCCTCATCTGGCGATGCAGGTTGACCACATATCTTAAACCCGCCCCCTCATTTGGCGACCCCGGTTGATCACATATCTGAAAGCCACCCCCTCATTTGGCGATGGCGGCTGATCGCAGTTCTTAAACACACCTCCGAACCAGCCCCCTCATTGGCGACGCAGGTTGACCATCTATCTTAAACCCACCCCCCTTTGGCGTTGATCATATTTCTTAAACCGGTTGATCAAATTTCTTGTGCCAGCGCCATCGCCAGCACCAGCGCTCCCCAGCCAGCGCCAGTGCCAGCGCCTGCTCGCGGAATTAGTCCATCCCCGGGCTATGTGCCCATGCAAAAGTACTCAGGGCCGCCAAGCAAGTTCAGGCACGGAGCAGATATAGCTTGAGGTTTTCGGTGTTGGAACTGATGCCCCTACTTCCTACTATGAAACATGTTCGGTTCTTCTCCGCAAGACAACTCGAAGTTCTTGGGCTCGCAGCATCGCTAATCCGTACCGTCGAACTCATATAGTTTTATGCCTATCTGCGCCACGGCTCACTAGAAAGCGTGAGTGGCCCTCTTTGGGAATTCAAGACCTTCGGACTATGTGTTGGGGTCCGAAGCTGAAATCCCAGACGGTAGCGTACAGGTCCACAGAAGCCTCTTCGAAGACGTGGAGCAAAAGGGAATCCTCGTCTGACACCATTGGCCCCGACGCCCCATGGCCCAAGATCCCAGAACCCGAAAGCACAAAGCCCTGAAAGAGCTGCGTTCTTGTATTTTTTCGGAAGGGGGGGCTGGAGGAGATGACGACCCACCGACGGATGGACTTGGCTTCAAGGTTGGTGGCGAGCCCGGCAAGCAGGGGTGAGGACTTGGGTCCCAAGGCTTGGGGTTTAGGGCCTAGGGCCTAGGTTTTGTCAAAGGTTCAACATTTAGGGTTTAGGATGGAAGCCAGAGACAAAAGTTCAAGTTGACCTTTACAATGATGTGGTTTCACTGGTTGGAGGTTCTGTGGTCAACAGCAGTGTTGGCCTTACCTATTTGTTTACCTTGGCCGAGGAATCAAAGCTGAACAACGAAGGGGGACCTCCCACATCTTTACACCGCCGCCAGGGGAAACAAAGAGAGCTGAACGATGAAAGGGACCTGCCACATGTTGATGCCAGTGTCAGACATAAAACGTTCACTTGAGCGACACGGGGCTCTTCAAAACCATCGGGGACATTTGGGACGATTGTTTGCGAGATTTTGCAAGCCCTTCTTGGGACTCTCTACTCACTGCAATGAGGTAGAGATCCCGCATGGTTCTGCAGTCTCACAACTTATGCGCACAGGTATGGACACTGTTTATGGTTTTTATAGTATGGCACCAGCTGCCGTTTGTCACCCGTTTCAGTAGCTGAGCGCCTCCCACCAAGGTGTTGAGGGCAGCAACTATGCCTCGAAGCTCATCACCCAGCCACCCAGCAGCTCTGAAGGAGGAACTGCGTTACCAACTCAGAGTCTGCCGCTAGCTTGGCGTCATGTTGGGTACGGTTCCTGTAAGTATTGGCTTCGATGCTTCTGAGATTCAGAAGCCAGAAATTCGACACTGCAACGAGCAAGAAGTATGTCTGGGTAGCAGTTGAGGGGAGCCTACAACTACGGGTCATCTGCGAAGCTGCCCAGACGTAAAGTGCAGCTGGTAAAATGGCCCCGAATGCAAGCCTGCTGTAAGCGAGTGGCTTTGTAAGTCCCCTCGGCCTCCCAGAACACCATGCACCCTAATCCCTGGCCCGACACCATTCTACATAATCCCGATCAGGAAGGAGGTTATACCTCACTGGAAATCTAGGAACTTGGTAAAGAAATCCCCTTAAGCACTCCTGAACCCCAAGCCGAGGTTCGGTGGCCGTGAGACGGACACCAGCTCCTGCCTGGCCTTTGCCCCGCAGTCGCGGCGCTCTCGCAAGACGCGGAGTGACTGGCAGGCCGGCAACGGTTTTTCAGGCGGTTGAGGCTTTTGGTTCAGATTTTGGAGTGAGGGGTGTCAGGTTCAGTTGAGGTTTATGTTTTTGTTGGGGTTTGGATTTTGGGGCTTACCGAATGGAAGAGGTTCGGATCTGGGTTGCAAGTAAGGTTTCAGGTTTGGCGTTCATACTAAAGGGTTTTGCTTTCAGTTCCGCACATTCCACCAAAGAAAGTGTTTGTTGTGCTGACGTTCAGTGCTCGTGCCCCACATATCGGCGCTACACGGTTTAGGGTGCCTTATGATCATCCTGGATCCGAAGGTTTACCGGTTTTTTGGCTCAACGGGCTTTATCCTTCTGTTGGGAACAAAAGTTGAAGGCCCGAACCGTAAACAAAATCCTAAAACCTCATAGCTGAAGCACTAAAGTCTCTCTCACTCTCAGAAAGGTGTCGAATAAGGACGATTTCATCAAACTGGAGCCGTACGCCGTGCCCTGCGGCGTCGGCTGGATGAAGTCAAACCCCACGAAGTGGGAGGGCGGCTCGGACTCGGAACGGTTGGAGCCTTTGGGACCTTTGGGATTTAGAGTCTCTTGCGTAGTGTAGATGCCTGTGCTGTTCAAACACTTTTCGTGCCATCGGTAGGTAGCTATAGCCTTGAAGGAAACCCCACAATTCCAAGCAGCCACAAGCTCTAGAATCTACTGTAAAATTATGTGTATGAAGTCCAATAGAATATACATATGTGAATATATATATATATATATAGTTATTTATTTGTCTTCATTCTAAACACCTACGTATTTTGGAGTATGTTGGACTTCAGGAGGGCCCCTTCGTTGCAACTTTCGGAGTCATTGGGCTGTCGCAGAGGCTTGCTCCTCAGAGTCAGCCACACGCATGGTCAAATATTGGAGCTCGCGCCTGTCTACAAACCGTCCTCATATCCGCACTGACGTTCAAGCTGGCAGAACCAAGGAGTGTCCCAAAACTCATGGAAACTCATGGTAGTACTTGCACCCCAACACCCACCTCAAGTGACCGAAGAGCCCCCGGCTCTGGTCATTACGTAATTCCTTTTTCAGCTTCGACAGGCTACGCGTTTTACACGTCTGAGCTGGCCATCGAAAAGTGCCTCACGGTGACCTACAAGATGACACTCGGGTATCACAGTATCGGGTTCAGGGTTCACGGCTTGGAGTTCGGGGTCTAGCGCTAGGCCCGGGTTTCGGTTTAGGGTTATTCTGGGTTGGGGCCGGTTCGGGTTGAACACGATTATGCATCCCTGTGCTGGCTGTTAGGCGACATAGCACCTATAATTTCTCCACTTGCTCAAGCAAGGTTCAGAGTTTGTGTGGATTTCCGAATTTGGGTTCAGAGTTGAGGGTTTTCGGCTTGGGTTTGACGTTATCGGGGAATCGTGAAGCATGTGAAGGGTCCGGGGTGTGGGTAAGGTCGATGTTTCAAGCAACTCGAACCGCTTTGTGTCTCCTTGGCCCGACATGGCCCTGCGAAGATTGACGAGCCCACAGGTCTGTTGACCCACCCGGGGAAGCCCGCGTCCTGATTTTGTTCGGTTGTGCACCGCTAGTGCATCTAGTGCCGCTTTCTCCGGCGGCTTGGCCGGCCCTCGACGGTTGCAACGAGGCGAATCCGGCACCTGCAGATCCTGCAGGTTGCCTGGCTGTGCACGTGTGCCGCGAGTTTCGTGTTTCCCGGCAGGCAGTCTTGCTCGAGCCGACAGGCGTTTGTTACGGTATTGCCATGTTCCCAGTCCCGGCAGGGAATTCACAGCACAGGTCACATTCTTGCATCTGCAAGCCTGGTCATGTTCTCATGTTCTTTCGTGCTCGGCGACCTGTCCGCTCGAGGTCATGTTTACTCAGCTGCAGACGTGCTCGTGCCAGGTCGGCTTCCAGCTGTTGTGCCCCTACCACGTTGCCCTCAGGATGGAAGTGTCGCTGCGACGAAGCAAAAAGTGGCAGCCAGAGCACTTTTTCCTTCGTGGGGTCACCCGAGCCGCCGTCTAAGCGACACGTCGCCCACCTTGCCCAGGTGGTGGCCTTCTGTCTTCACAATACGGCGTCGGAGGATTGGATGATTTCCCAATTTATTGAAAATAGAAGATTGGGCCGAGCATGCATTACGCATGGCAGGGGCACAGTTGCTGGCCAGGTCGTTGGTGCCGTTGCCAACGATCCAGATTATAGGGCGATGGGGTTCCATTGCAGTTATGCGGTACGTGCAAGAGGCGATGTTGACTCAGCCTGAGATCACGGCCGCCTCGGTAGCATCACATCTCACAGGTTCGACCAGCATCGAGTCGACAGACACTCTGCGCGACCAAGTTCACAAGCTTGTGGCTGGGTGCATTCAGGGTCACGGGGTGTTGGTACATAATGTTCGCGCCCGGTTCGTGCGGCCATGTGCAGGCGAATCCGCGGTACCCTCAGACCCGTGGCTTCCACTTTGCGGGAAATGGCGCAATGGCACCAGTTCGGACGTTTTTCCACACCTTTCAGGACCCGTCAGCCGTCAAGAAGATGCTGGTGCCTAAAGGAGGTGCCGCTAAGCTCGATGACAGGGCATTACGCATCAGTTTCCAACACACTTCTTGTCCGGTGCAGACGAGGTGCCGGCCAGGCTCGTGCACGAGCGTGTGACTCGTTCATTTCAGCCGCTCCGGCCCTCCGCCAGTTTGCAGCACCCGGTCAGATCAACCGGTTCCGGATCAAGGGAGAGCTCCTGGTTCGGGAACTTGGTGCAGGGCAGGACCTCGTCAACGCCAAGTCAGGTGGTGCCCAGCACGGTCGGAGCCTCAGCAGGCGGCTGTTCAAGAGGGGGCTCATCGGACAAGCTATATCGGAGGAGGACCGCGGCAGGCTGGTCCTGGACTTGAGCCATTGGGCTCAGCAGCATCTTCCACGTCTCCATCTGCGGGGACCAGACTCAGACCAGACCCCAGGACTTGCGAGGATACCGCCTCCGGACAGATTGCGCCCCCAGCTGTGCTCATGGGGGGGCAGCTCTCGACCGGGTCGGCCCTTGGCACAAGGTTCAGTCATCTGCGTGTGTTGAGCTTTTTCGACGGGATTGGAGTCGCGGCACAGGCTCTGAAATCCTGGCACGTCAAGCCGGTTGTGTACTTCTCTTTGGAGATCCGCACACCCGACGCGGCTACTCGTGAGCGGTTGCAGGCTCCGCCCAGCGGCTACACGTCAGCAGGTTCCGAGCGCGAGAGGTGCACTCAGCTCTGTAACGCCTGGCGCGGTTCCTTTTGCGCTTGGTCTTGCTGCAGTCTCAGGCCTTGTCCGTTTCAGCCAACTTGCGGCACCCAGCCCTTGTTCGAAAGAAAGTTGCCTGCATGCGTGGAGACAGCCAGTTTGCGCAGACCTTGTTGCAGCCTTGGTGGAGGAGTTGGAGGAGGATCAAGAGTCGCAACAAGAGTCGTGGTTTCTCACCTCGCCTGCACATGTTCGTCATGTCTACCAGAGTCTACCAGCGAGGACACCAGAAACTTCAACTCCACCTGTTGGCCTGGACTTGGCTTTTGGACTTGCTACTGTTCCCTAGCCGTCGCCAGTTAGGGGGTTTCCTTTGTTGGGCCCCTTGGCGCCAGGCACAGGTTGGGCAGCACGTTCTGACTTCACGTACTCCTGACCTCTGTGCCCGCCCGAGTTCTTGTCCGCAGACCGCGACCGCGTCCGGTCAAGTGGTGACAGATTCTCGACTAGTGCAAGTTAAGTCGCGTGTCAATCCCTTTTCCGGATAGCCAACTAGCTTCTGCTTCAGGACACCTCAGCTTGTGCCTCCCGTGCATTCCCGGTCGTTCAGGCAGGAAAGGTCAGCCGCTCAGACGACTGGGTGCGCAGCAAGCACAACTCCACCATCTGGGTCACTGACAGTCCGTCCTACTCTAGCGCAGACACGTTAACCAGCTGCATCCAAGCAGCTCGGAGTCCTCAGTGTCGTGGATCACGAGGGCGCTTCCCGTTCACTCCCATCCCAGTCAGAGACCCGTCGAACGCGGAGTCATCATGCGTCGACGGTGAGCAGGCATTGCGGCAGATGTGTTGTCCTACCTAGCAGTATACTTACCTATAGTACCGTCAGCCCACTTCGTTGATAACTTTGACCAGTCCGAGGATTCCGAGGTGGCTCAGTTCAAGACCTTTCATATTAGCTTGGGCTTCAGGATGAAGGAACCCATAGAGAAACGACCTGCCAGGTCACACACCTTGCTCGGGTGCTCGTTGGTTTTCGGCAGGGCAGGACAGGCCCTCCCGAAGCCCCTGTACCCGGCCGAAGTTGCACTGCCGCTAGCACTTCGTGTCAGTTTCTGACTAGGGTTCTGCCGGCTCTCAAGCCACGCTTCCTGCCTAGCATCTCCCGTTCGGTGGAGATGAAATGAAGATGGGCCGCCTTTACGCAGACGCCCTCATCACTATGCATGGCGATCGGCGGTGTGCTAACAGGTGGATGGACGACAGCACAGCCCAGCAACTGCGTGAGTCCACCAACGGTTGGGGAGCGATCTACGTGGGCCCGTCCGGATCCCGGCTTTAGAGCACAGGTCCCAGAACACGTGCTCCGCCAGTGTTGCTCTTCGCGAGATTACATCTACTGGCTGGAGTCGATAGCACAGTTGATCTCCATTGCGGTGCTTTGCCGTGACTCGTGTGCTTCGTGGACAACACTGCCGCCGAGCACGCCCTCAACAAAGCGACCTCTAAAATTCCAGCACTGCGTTGGTTGATAGGTTCGTTTTGGTTGTGGGTGGCTAAACAGGGCTTGTTCGTGAGCTTTCAGCGAGTGACCAGTCAGGCTAGGTGTCGCGAGGAGATTTTCCAGAGGCGGACGACCTCGGCTGTTGGCCCGACCTTGTACGACTACAAGAAGCTCCGGCGGACTTGGTCGTGGACCGCCTGTTCGCCGAACCGCCGCGCCGCACTCCGAGGTGGGGAAAGGCGCCCGGTGAGTGGTTTGTTCGAGCGCGCCGACGGTTCTGTTGCTCCACCCCGTTCGTTCGCAGACAGAACGCCAGCACAGTCGAGCAGGTCGGGGCGAAAAGAAAGAGCCTTGACCGTGTCTGTTTGCAGCGCAGCGGAGTTTAGGGTTTTCATATTCTTCTTCTAGAGCTACATTGCCCTCATTAAAATATCAAGTCTTGATCCCTTGCCTTACTTGTGGCGAGAATCGCGTACAAAACTAAGGGTCCTTCCGTTTCCGGAAGGACTATACAGGGACCCCTTACAGGAGGGCTAAAGCCATGCTAAAGCCTAAACCCCGGGCGTGCCCGCAAGCTCTGAAAGAGACCGCGCTGAAGCTAGGAATGCGCAGCCTGTCTTAGCCTTCGTGGGTGGCCTGCAGTTCGACGTGATGCCGGGACCCCTGGCCTCGGTGGCCGCCCGGCCAAAAACCCGCATGGGATTGTTTAGAGTGTGGAATTTCGGGGTTTGTCAATCGCCCACGGGCTCAATGCATTCGCTCATCGAGCATCTGATCTCGGCCATCGGCCAACACACACATTTAAGGTTTGGGTTTTAGGGCTGTCCGTTGCTGTTGGAATTTCGGGTGTGGAGTAAGTCAGGGATTAGAAGTGTGAGCGTAAGTCTAGCGTTAAATGTGTGGGTATTTATTAGCCGTCGGGATTGGGGGTGACTTTAATGGTTTAGAAGCTTTACTCAACTGTTCCAGAAATTTCAACTTTGGAATGTGCTTTGTGACCGAACTATGATGTCGTGGAAGATTTGGTTGGGGTTCAGACGGAGGCAGAGCTCTGAAGAGTTTACTAGCTTAGGGTTGCACGTGTAGTATGGACAACAGGGGATTAGATCAAGGCGAGCAGGTTCAGAAAGGCTTTGGCAGAGGAGCTGCGCTTGGCATCCGCTCACGTGTTCACACTTGAACAGTTGGGCACAGTTGCAGCATGTTGCCGCTGCACGGTGACGGTAAGTGGTTTGAGTTCATGCAAGCATGGGCGGTTGATTGCAAGCAGCAGCAAAAGCGGGTTGCGCCCCGGTGCGCATGCCATGGGTCTCGAATCAGCCGGTCCTGTAGAAGTTTAGCAGGCCACACCGCCGGTGTGAAACCCCTACTTGGACCTGAACCCACCGACCGTAAACATTCAAGGCCGCGGTCCGCCAAGTCACAGCTCAAATCACAACCCAGGTGGCAGCTTAAGGGTTCCGGCTATCCTGAATCTCCCACGAAGCGGCTTCATATTGTTTCCAGTCTCCTTTTGCAGAAACTCAGCTTGGCCCACGCCAAGCTTCGGCAAGCCTAGCCGGCACATCCGGACTAGGTTTATGGAAGGTTCTTGCACCACTTCTTGCGTTTGCTTCGCCTGTCCTCCTGCATCTATCCCTTATAAAATCTGGACCCGCAGCCCTCGGAGGGTGTGGCGGCGGCAAGGATGCCTGTAGAATGGTACCACAAAAATCCACAGACGCATACCCTGAACAAATCCAGGTATTAAAAAATAAATAAACAAATATATATACATATGTATATACACAGACATATGTGCTGCGGTTACGGCCCCTCCAACCTGCGGATTCCCTTGTTTTGGAAATAATGTTTCACAGTATCGGTATTTGTTCCTTTTCCTTTCCTGCCACATAGCCAAAGTCTTGGTCCCATATACGTAAAGGTTCGCTTTATATACGAAATTCAATTTATCATCAAGATCGTCGTCATAATGTGTATCATCTTCATTAAATCCTTGTCAAAACCGTCATCGCCATCTGTATCATCACCGGTGTCCCCTACTAGACACGTCAAATCAGCACACATGTCAAACGTTTGTACACATATGGGAGCTGGAAACACGTAAATACCAGCTCACCATGTTGTTTTGTATGTTAACAACTTACGAGTTGCAGTATGCTGTTCACTGTTTACTTAGATGTCCAGTTTACCACCAGCAGGTGTGAGAATCTAACATCGTTTGCCGTTCAAAATTGCACCGTAATTTTGCTTCTCTTCAGCAACCCTGATTAGTGCATAGTTAGTATGTGTTTGTTTAAACCTTCGCATGGTATTGCCTCTGCTTGGGTTCCAATGAAGTCACAAAGCACAGCTTCAAGCTTGCCCTGGCAGGCATCAGGCATTCTTGAACGGATGCGCAACTGAAAGCTCTAGCACTGGCCAAATATCAATTTTTTCTGATTAGACTGTCATTAAAGGGCCATTACATAGTAGTTGTGTTAGTATTGTAAACGGGTACTACTCAGCAATATGTCAACATCATCCAGGTCCTGGGTATAAAAACAAGTAACATTTGATTGTTTTGACAACTTAAATTTGGATGCATATCGTGTAGCTCAACTATTGAACGTGCATCAAATACCTGCCAGTGTAACCATACTCCTCTTTCTAGACTGACAATTAGACAATACTAGACGAGCTTACATCTACATAACTTGTGAGATTTTCGCAAACATGTACTAACGCTGTAAACTGCATGTTTTCGGCTTTTACTTGGATACTGTAGGCCTCGCTCATCCCCTTATGGAAATTGCAATTTAGCACTCAGGAAAAAGTGCAGATAATTTTGAATGGATAGTTACTAAGGAACAGTAGCTTGAGAAGACACCGCTACAACAGCTACAACGACATGCTTTTTTGCGCAGGTTTCCAAAACTGTTGAAAGCTCCAAAAGATCTCGCCTCTGCCAACCTGGAAACTTACACATTCCAAACCTGAAATCAAAACTATTTTAATCTCCCAAAGCTCGGAAAGTTCCAAAAGTTCCAAGAATTCAGCAATTTCCATGCCAGAAACTTGCTCCCATGAGTAGGTGCGACCTTTGTGGGTTGTCTGCAAATTTTATCGGAGTTCACAGTATTTCATACAACAAATTTCCAAATCTTCTAAAACGTCAGAACCAAGTACACACGATGTTCCAAAGCACAGGGGCGAACTTGTTGGACATTTCGGAATTCTGTGAATTTTTGTTCGAAATTTCAATATTTCCTATATTTCCGAAATGCCCGAACCAAGTATACAGGATAGCCCAAAACATCGGAGCAAACTTTGTGTGAGTTTTTGAAGTTCTGGACATGTTGGACTGTACATGTGCTTTGAGAGCTACAGAAATGTTGCAAATCAGGGCAGGAATCTCTTGGACAAAAGAGAAACATCGCTTATTGACACGAACCCTGAACCCAGTCAGATGGCAGAACTTTCGGCGGATGTAGTGCCTGATCAGCTCGTGCGTGGTTGTGTTGTTTTTTTGGAGGGGGGGGGGGCATATGAATATATATATATATACACACATATAATATATATATATATATATACATGTGTACACAAGTGTCTGTGTGTGTGTATATATATATATATAGATATATGAATATCGATTACACATCAGGATGCCCAAGTCTGCTGGCCCCTCGGAAACCCGGATGGCATGGATCTGACGCAGCTGAGCCTTGGAGCCATTTCAGCTTCTTCGGGTGGTCCTTTACCCAGAAGAGGGCGGGATCTCTCAAGACAGCTCGGTAGTCACGTGGGCACTTTGCGAGCTGTTCATACTTCGCCTTGTCGTGTCTACTGCAGACGTGAGGACGTCCCGACATCAGAGATCCTTACACAGCTTGCCCCATACCGCCAGCAAATGTCAAGCTTGATGTTATGTATCGTAATGCACGGGCCCTGATGTTGTGCACGTGTTACCCTGTTGCTCGGAGACCCTGATGACCTGACGACGTCCACAGGAAGACAGTGATCCGCTCATGTGGAGTCACGCTCCTTGGCCCGAGACGGAGCACGCTAGACCAGCCAGATCTAGCCAAATGGGATCCAGGTCGGCATGGTTTTGGTTTTGGCCAGAATAGGTTTTGCACATGTATACCCACAAACACATACATTTTTTGTGTAGATATCTAACATCGGACAAGGCTGGGCGCAAGCTAGTTGGGGCTATCATGGCCGCAGTACGACTTCCAGCAAAGCTTTGCTAATTGCGCACTTTGGACTGTGATGCTCAAGTGGCTGCAGAGAGACAGGCTCTACATCAATGGTGATGAAGTGGTATAGGCGATAGATGCATGAGTCTCGAAGCGGCAGCTCCAAACACTCCACCACGGAAGCTCATTTAAAATCCGCGAACCTAGAACTTCTGAGCCCCGCCTCGATGCACTCTCGATGCAGTTTGAAGCCTGCCTGGTTGCCCGGAGCACCTGACCTAGTACTGAAACCATGTATACCCGTGCCTCTCTTCTTGCGGTCGCCCCTGGAAGTCCCAGAATGAAAGGAAGCATTTAAGCTCGAACCGGTACTCCCGGCGAAGTCCTTCTGCATTGCAAGGGTCATTCGGAGTGTAGGTTTGGCAGACATTGGCAGACTTTGCCAAGACAGCCATAAAAGAAGCGCAGCGAGCGGCTGTGGGGCCTGAACAGCGGTTTTAGAGTGAACTCCCGTCACCTCTGAGTCCTACAGGTACAAGTCCCATCTCCTCAACACCCAACTGTCAACCCTGACTAAATCAGAATCCCTGATGTTATCCCACAGAGTTCACAGACAGCCACTTCGTACACCATACATTGAGAGACTTTAATTGGCAACTACTGTCGTAGCTCCCCGCCCTGCCAGCATTGAAGGGAAAACTGTGAGCCAAGTCCAACGTTGAACCGCCATACTTTCGGGCCCGTACCATCAAATCCCAAGGCCCTAAACCTCAGATTCCCAAGCTGCTTCACCGCCGTTGCCATGCCCGGCCCAAACCCTCAACCTTGCAAACCCAGAGCCCGAAACCCTTACACCCTCGACACCATACCCGTAAACCCTTAAAACACTAAAACCTCAAACTCAAAATCATTCACCCAAATCTCCCAAACCAAAACCACCCTCAACCTTTATTTAGACTGAGAGTCTGAGACGCCTGAGGCTCTTCAGTCGCACGCTGCGCTTAAGCAAGCGGTTTGGGAGCAGCACGGACAGAACAGGGGAGGCTTAGGATTCAGGTTAAGGTGTAGGGTATAGATTTGTGGCAGTTTGGAATACGCACGCGAAACCTTAAATCCAGTAATCGCAGCCCTAAGTCAGGACCGAAACTTGCAGAACCTCAGGGCGTTTTTACAAGGTCGCAGAACCCCATCAACCGATGTTCGACAGGACTTTGAGGGCCAGAATACGTACGGCAGCACGGCCACCTGGATTCGCCCTGCCAACCCTCGGGAGTCCATGAGCCGGACCAAGCACCTCGGGACGATTTGGGAGGTTTTGTGGTAGGGGCTTTGGTGAGAGATTTTGCATTCAGGGCTTGCGGTATAGAACTTCAGCTAGTTTCTGTGAGGCATGGCGCATCAAGTGTCCGGATTGGTTGAGGCTTTTAGGTTTCAGGGTGCAGGGACATGAAAGGCGGTTTTGTTTCTCTTGCATGGGTCTCATGGCTGCTTTGTAGCTGAAGCTCTTGCTACCATGGCGCCGAGTGAAGATTCTCGGTTCCAGAAACTGCCAGCTGCAGATTTTAGTTGCCAGTTCAAAGTTTCTGTTACTGTCTGGTGCAGTGTTTGTACGGTTTCTTATGGAGACATGATACTGCTGATGATCCAATCCTGTGGGACCCTGGCCAGGTGCTGTACCCATCAATACCTGAGAACTATGCTGGTATGATGTAAGCCAGGCCATGATCATCAACAGTACAGGTGGTTGATGCGTAGTAGGTGTGTCCATCCAGCCCTCGCTCGGATGAAGAGTCCACGCCTGAGCAGCACACCGATTTCGACGCGGCTTCCGTCAGAACTTAAGCAGTGCAGGATTTGGGGCTTAGCATTGCCTGCATCTGCAAGCCTGTAAGCCCAAACCCCGGACTCTATACGAAGCCGCACCATGCTGTGAGCGGAGTCCAGGCTCCTGGAGACCAACAGCAGCGTCCGCCCAGAAGAATTGGCATCCATGAATGCTAGCAAGGCACCGGAGGCCCGGCTTGGAGGGGTTGGAAGGGGGAATGGTCTCATTTTTAGTCAATAGCTACAGTGTAGTGCAATGCCTCCTGTACACCTCAAAGCAATGCTGGAAATATTTAGGATTCTTTAGTCACTGAACCCGAGTGATGTTCGGGAAGACTTCTGCACTAGCAGTCCTGAGTGGCCCCAGGAAGGACTACGATTGGGTTGGGAAAACCAAGGCTGAGCATGGCTGAACAGCCTCGAATGTCAAAACTCCTTTGGTTCTGTGTATGTGGAGTAGCATAGCTAACAGGAAATGGCTTGATCTCAGGGCTGCCGGAAATTGGACCAGATGGAAAACAGAAGCACTCATGGGACGCAGGGGACTGTGACCGCAGTACCAACTTTCCTTTTGGGCACACCACTGGAGCAGTCATGGGAGAACCCTAAAGCCCAATATCAACCTCAAAGCCTCAGTCCTGAAGCCTACACCCAACAAAGCCTGCATGCACCCTGAACCGCCAACCCCGAGACTGCCCCTAAACAGCACCAGCACAAGGCGCAGCTGCAGTGGGAGGCTCCGATGGAGGCGCTCCGTCCTTGGATTGACATCCGAAAAGCAGGCAACTGCCAAACCTAAAGGTCATTCCGCACCCGAAACCCGGAGTGCGGACAGCTGACATCGACCCATGGCAACGGGGTTCGAGGTTTGGGCCCTTGTTTCTCGCAAGGCTCTGCCAAGCACGCACTGCGCTACACCCGATCTTCACGGACTAAATAAATGCGGGGCGGCTACCAGTAGGTAGTTGATGCTGGCGAGCCTGGGCATGGCCCCGCTGTCAACTCTGGCTGTAAAAGGGGCCCCAGCTGTCCCAAAATGGACCCCAACAACCGTATAGTTCCTAACACAGAAACCCTAAGCACTCCATGCCTGGGCACTTGGAAACCCATAAGCTTCTCCTTGCCGGAGTATGAGTCTCAGTTATACACACGGTTGAATTATGCCAACCTGTTTATCAGACAACCTTTGCATCCTTTTCTACATTCAGTACCCATGAACCTGCCATTTAGATAAATCTTAAATCCCGATAACCACGCAGGACCTGTACTTGGCCTCGTTGGATTTGGGTCCAGCTCCTCGGGTCAAGCTTGAATTCTTTGTCGTTGTCACAAAGCTCTAAACCCTAAAACCTTCAACCCTCCTTTTTCAACTCTGGAGTTTGTGGTGCCCATGACCCTCAGACCTAAACTTCAAATGGCGACCCAGGATCTCGGCCTGAAGACCCACTCCAAGCTAAGGGGCAAGGCAGTGGCCCGGCGGCTGAAGGGCGAACAAAGTGGCGAACAGATGGCAGAGGAAGTGGCCGAGCGGGGACGCTGTGGGGGTAAGGCTGCTGCTGCTGCTGCTGCTGCTGCTGCACCTGCTGCTGCTGCTGCTGCTGCTGCTGCTCCACCTGCTGCTGCTGCTGCTGCTGCTTCTGATGCCGCTGCTGCTGCGGCTGCTGCGGCTGCTGCCGCTGCCACTGCCACCGCTGCCGCCGCCGCTGCTGCTGCTGCTGCTGCGGCTGCTGCCGCTGCTGCTGCTGCTGCAGCACCTGCTGCTGCTGCTGCTGCTGCTGCTTCTGCTGCCGCTGCTGCTGCTGCTGCTGCTGCACCTGCTGCTGCCGCTGCTGCTGCCGCTGCTGCTGCTGCTGCTGCCACTGCCGCCGCTGCCGCTGCCGCTGCCGCTGCCGCTGCTGCTGCTGCTGCCGCTGCCGCTGCTGCTTCTGATGCCGCTGATGCTGCTGATGCCGCTGCTGCCGCTGCCGCTGCCGCTGCCGCTGCCGCTGCTGCTGCTGCTGCTGCTGCTGCTGCTTGTTCTTGTTGAACTTTTTTGTTGTTGTTGTTGGTGGTGGTGGTTAGCAGCAGCACTAGCAGCATAAACA